AATTGGAGCACTGCACTCAACATTTCTGCAAACTCGTCCTTGGCCTTCAAGCATAGCAGCACTAGGAGTCAGTTCAACACTACAAGGAATGTGGGGCAGACACATTTCATTAAGCATGCCATTTTGTTTTCTCATTTCAGTCTGTGAGGCCATAGAAGCAGCTGGAGCATGTCTTCCTTTTGCTGAACTTCCTCTTTCTTTCCAGCCCCTCGTCTCCTGAAGGCAGAGAGCGCTGACTCCTGCAACTGCTTGCTCGGAGCTGTCAGCACATATAACCTGCTGCCCTTGGGCTTCCCAGCTGGGCTGACAGGACCTGGCCATGGTCCAAGCAGGGCGATGTCTCCAGACCCTTTCTGTCTCCAACACAGGAGCAGTGAACTTTGTTCCAGTTTTTCCTGGCCTTCTCCCAAACAGAGTCAGAAGTCATCTTGTTGAATTGCTTTCACATGAGGGGATGGAGTAATTCCAAATGCACTTGAAAACAATGTTATAACCAGTGGTATTATAAAACATAAACCTATTAGATATGAAAAATGCAATTTCTTGCTGCTAAGCCTGTGAAAAGAACCCTTTGGTCTTTTCAAAGTGTAAAGCTAATTCAAAAGGTTAAAGTCATCCATTGTGGCCAAAGCTGAATGTATACTCTGACAATTATGTCTTATGACTGTATCTTCATAGACTTGCTCTTTCTGATGCCAGTGGTGAATCTGTAGTTTCATCTGCAATTAGTAACATGATGTCATGGGGACCAAAGTAGGTGGGGCAACCTTATCCAGGATGGGAATTGGTCCATGAACTTTTGTGAAAATTACCTTAGTGTATATTTGTCTTTGCCCCAAGGCAAAGTACCACCTTAATATCCATCTTCCCTGGTGAGCCTGTATGTGAGAGAAAATCTGCAGGCCAAGAAACTCCTAGTACAAGTTAGACATTCAATTTAGATAGCTGATTAACCAGTTAAGTACCTGACTAGAGCTGACTAATTAGTGGTTAATGGTAAGGTTCTGTCTAACTAAATTGATCTCTAGTAAGCCTAAGGACAATTAAGAGCTTGCAATCACTGTGATAATTTTTCCTCTGCATTGTTGCAAGAACCCCAGTTAGAGGTAAGGTGATAATTTAGGACTATTATGTAAGGCTGTCTCCTTGCCACAGGACAGTGCTTCAAGCGCTGCTGTAAATTGGGGCAATGTTATTCCTAACGTCTGGTGAAATATGTGATTAAATAATCATTGATTTTTGGTGGGGGAAACTTTTGTAGCACTCTGACTAGTTTCATATTCCCTGTCAATTCATTGCCCATTGAAGCACAGATTGTTGCAGGCAGCCAGACGAACAGAAAACAAGCACGGGGGTAAAGCTGGTGACCAGTGTGAGAAATGTAAACAGAAGGCTCAGAGCTCATTTTCCAGGTTGTCCACAGCCCTGGCTTGGTGCTTGGTAAAACAGAAATTTTCTTTTGGAGTAGTCTGTGTCGATGCCACCTGAACAGGAGCTTAGCTATGCACATTTTGGGTGCTTCTGTGACACAAATAGTCTGAGTCACGTTGCATATATCAAATATTTTGCTCAGAAGCAGGAAGGCATATGTCCACTCTGAATGTCATCTGACAGATGCCTGGAAGGCATGTCTGGCAGGCTTATGCCCTGATCATTGCAGATTGACATACTCACTGTAGCTTCTAATTGGCAAGAGACAGCATAAGGCCTTGTGGATTTTGATTTTCCCTAGAGGAATATTACTAATGAATTAAGATTGATTTTTGCAATTGGAATCTTTGGAACCTCAATGCCAAAGTTCTTTTTTCCATTTTTCCACCATTTAAAATGAAATTTGATCTTTATAGAGATATTTCTATATATTTTAAGAGAGATGATGAGTCAAACAGACTACCTCTATCTATTATTGCAAGATATTTCTGTTAAGACACCTGTCATGTTTCCATGTTTGTTGCATCAGCTTATTGCTCACATACCTACTTGTTTATTACTCTTCTTGAAAAAGCAAGGATGAAGTGAGACTAATAAAACTATGCAGACTGATACTTAATGTTCAGTTGCTAAATCAAAATTTAAAAGGCCTCAAGAACTTGATTTGGAAATCTTTTAACTGAAACCACATTTGACACTGTATTCAATTCAGACTGAAATAAAATCAGGTGGTTCAGATAGCTCCTAGAAAAGCCAAAGAAATATAGATATGGTTTACAAACTGGTAATATAAATCCATCCCCTTTGCTTTTATTGAGTACTTCCATTGCAGTTTAGCCTCCAGTAAATGAGAGATTCAAATTTGTTTTACTGTTGCTGAAGCCATCTGAAATGGGAAAGGGTTTACCGTGTTTAATTTTGTCTCTTTAATTGATTCCACATTTTAATTTTACCAAATTGAGCATCCATTATAGCAGACTGTAAATCCTGTTGCAAGTCTTCCATGTGGGTACCTTAGTCTGTAGGCTGGAGGGTTTTCCTCTCCTTCTCTTCCTAGAATTTAACTTGTTGCAAGTGGAGAGTTTTAGGAAGAGGGCTAGAATCCCACACTCACCTTTCAGGGTGACATCTCTCTTCAAAGTCCATGTCCACCTAAGTCAGGACAAGGATGCACACAGGTCCTGAGGCTGTAACACAGCACTGCAAGTGCTGTGTAATGGGCCGAGTCTTCTCCTGCTGCAGCTACTCCAGCTAGGAGTCAGGACACCTTCCTGACAATGTGAACTGAAGGTTTGTCTCTTACTAACCTCTCGCTGACTTGCAAAGCTCCTGAGCTCAGGTGTAGCTTTCCTGGCCTGGGAAGCCTTTCTGTTGGCCGAGCTGCCAGCCCTGAGCACGCCCCTGGGCTGCTGTGGTGTGACCACTGCCTGCACACAGAGGGAAATTGAGGTCACTGCCCATCATGAGATCCCAGCTGCAGCCTGTGTGAGGGGCTTTTCGAGGGGCAGGGGCCTGTGCTTCCCAGAGACATGCAGAGTCATGGTGGGACATTGATTGGCTCTACTTGAGTGACCACATTTATCCAGCTCCTCCTCCTAATTCACCTGACTGTTTAGAAAGGATAGCTTTCCCACAGTAAACCTGCACAAAATTGAAAAGAATCACTTCTTTTGCTCTACTGTAGACATAAGCAGGTTATGCCCTTCTGAAATGTTAGCTTTGAAACAGTTGAGTACACTTGAGTGGATATAAAAAATCCTAATCCCTTTTCACAGAGTAACTACTCTCACTCAGGCTGGGCTTTCTTAGGAGAAATAAACTCAGGTTAAGTGTCTAAGAGTTATTTCTGCAGTTGCTGTGTGATTTTTTAAGTGTCTTTCATTACACAGGGAATAAATTATATTCTTTAACAAGAATGGGACAGAAGTCAATGCTGCTTTTGAACACTGGGTGCTGGTGCTGGCTCAAAACTGCTTATCCAGTTTCTGGAAATGAAACAAACGCTTGAGTTAAAGTTACAGAGAATGGTTAGCTGAAATCCATTTCAACTCCTTTGGCACAAAGCACACAGGAGGAAACATTGCCTTGCCAGTTAACTAATGCTTCTCCCCTTGCTCCTGGTACTGTGTGATTCAAAGCTGTGCAGTTCCTCCCCAAACCCAAGGCACACATGAAATTAGGAAATGGCAGGAAAAAGGCCACATCACAATAATTACTGTGATATGGTCTGTTATTCCCTTTCTTTCTTGCTCTGTATTTGAGGCTCAATGTTAATTTACTTGTATAACTCAAGGTGTTTCCTCTGCTTGTTTGTACTAGCTATGATTTCTAAACATCCTTGAAATTATTGGCCATAACATCTCTCCTCATCATGATATTATTTCAACTTGAGCTACTTATAGAAAGTGCTTCTTTCTACTTTTGAACAGAAATGGCTGGCAGCCAGAAAAATATGTATTTGTTTGCCTTTCTATTTTTGGTTTGAAATTGCTGGAAGCCAGTAGGTGGGTTTTTATTTTCTTTTTTAAGATTTTATTTTCAAACTAAGACAAATATTATGTATAAGGAGTGGCACATATCTTAAATAACTGGTTCTAGTAACAGGAAAATGTTCTCGTTAGAAATTCTTCTGAAATGTGGCTCTACTTCTGGAAATCTTTTCTTGCTTGCTTGAGTGGAGTTTTGTGTCCTCTCCCATTTTCCTCCATGATTCTTTCACATGCAGAGTTTTATAGGAACTTTGCTGGCACCAAAACATTGGTATGTTTTCATTCATCTTGTACTGCACCAATTTATCATCTGCCCATTCTACCAACCAAAGGAAAATCACACAGGGAGCTGACAAGTGCTTGTGTTAACCAAATGAAATCACCTCATCTGCCACCTAAATGGATACCTACTAACCTGGTATTTTTGGAAAATAGAATCCAGTGTCTGTTGTTGGACTGCACAGGTTTTGGTCTCCAGAAAGGAAAGTTTCAACCCATTATAAAATGAGTAGTCCAGTATGAGGTCTCATCCCATTCAAGAGAACCAGAAGGTTACTTAATTTTTATTCCCAGAAAATGCTGGGAATTACTTAAACAAAGCAGGAATCCAAGTCCTATATATTTCTTTCAGACTAAAGACCAAATTGAACCAAAAAATTCACTCCCGATTTTATTTATTTATTCTCTCTCTTGCATTTCTTCCTAAAACCTCAAAAACCTCCATTCCCACCCAACTCCAAAACCTATCACAACCAAGCAAAAAGCAACCCTCAGGCCAAATCTATGAGCTTTGTTGTGTTTATTTCATAAAAATAAGCTTGGATACTTCTGAGTTAATGCTACTTACTGCTTGTTGACTTCTAAATCAGTAAAACCAGTTCACATAACATAGGATTGTCTTTGGAAAAATTATTTTTAGGGGTTGGGAGAAGTCAGAGGGTAGAGCTAGAAAGACAAAATGTTTGAAAGCATTTTTTTACTCTACTGCCAAGACTTATGTTATATGAAAATATAGTACAGAGCTTAAGTACACAAAATTTTCTCTTTTAACAGCTTTTCCATTGAGCTTTGAAACCATTCATGGAAGCTGATGGCAATATTCTTGTAAGTATACTTGTAACTACGATTGAGTTATTGATCATCTGAAGAAATCATATGTTGGGATTATATCCTTTTAGTCACAAAGACCATGAAGAGCATAAAAGATGCACAACAGCATCAGTATTCAAATAGGATCTTTCTTATGGGGCAGCCCAAAGGGAGAGGTTGCCCCAGTTCTGCTATAAGGATAAAATGAAATCTACTGCACATGCCTGATGCTAGGGGTGCCCTCATTTCCAAATCCTACCCTTCAATGGATGAGGTAACTGCAACCCAAGATACATGAGCTTAGCAAAGGATTTTCTTAGCCACACAGGCTAACCCTTGGTAAGCTTAAAGAAAATACAGCTCTGTGGAATATAACTGTTGATCATAGTTGCCACTGGTGCCTTCTCAGACTTATGCGTTGGGAGTCAAACTTCATGAGACATGAAGCCTGTTTTTTTAGTATTAGCCCAATGCCCCTGCTTTTCCATGTAGACTTTTCTTTTTCTTTCCCCTGAAACAGCTTCATGTACTTATTTCTTCACCCCATTTTTATTCCTGGGGACTTTGCAGGCCGCCCCTGACCCAGGACACCTGGAGCCTTTGGTGCAGCTTCCTCTGACTAGGAAGGGTCAAGAGTCCTTTAACTGGTGTTTGGGAGGGACCTGCCCTGAGAGCAGCCAAGAGTTTGTGTAGCTGGGTGTGAAGAAGGAGGGAAATAAGGGAGCCTCTGTTGAAACTGTGGGGGTGTAGCAGTCTTAGACATGGTGATAACAGGGCAGTTTCCCCAGAAGGTGTAGGAACAGCTGTCCCTGCTTGGGCAGAGTTTTCCACAGAGAGTGGTTGCAACTTTCCAAATCCCAGACTTCAGGGGGTGTCAAGAACCTCTCCCTAAGGCTGAGGGAAATGTGGCTGCAGGCCATCTTGGAGGAGCTGTCCTGGGAGGTGGAGGAGGTTCAAGAGGAAGCATGCAAACTGTGCAGCATCCGAGAAAGTGGAAGGGAGAGAGATAGGGTCTCCTCTGAGACAAAACAGCATGAAGACCATCAGTCCCCACCTGCAATGGAGAAGCAGGCAGTGTCAGTGCCCCTCTATCAAAGTAAGAAAAATCTCTGGAGAATTGGAAGAGTGGAAATTGATGACTTCTTGTATGAAGAGGAAGCTCCCACCTCATCTAAGAACAGGTGGGCTGCCCTCAGAATTGAGGAAGAGCCAGATGCGTCCCCTAGAAAATGATGTGGTTCACTTGACTGTAAACTATGCAGGTCTACCAGGAAGAAAAGGTGAGACCCTGCAGTGTGTTACTCCCTGCTGCAAGGACAAAGGATCCATCTGTAGGCCTGACCAACCATCCAGAGATGTTTGCTTCCTCGGAGGGGCCAGGATCCAGGATGTTGTGCAGAGACTGCCAAAGCCTGCCCAGCCCTCTGATTTCTATCCCCAGTTGTAGGTGGAGAGTAGACTTGGATGACCTCCTGAAGTTCCTTCATTCTTAATCATACTGGGATTCTGTGGAAAAAAAGGACACCTGGACTGACAGAAACCTCTGCTGGAGTTGTCACTTCTCTCATACATTTTTGCTCATTGTGGGAGCCTACCTGGCATGGAAGTGGCAATGAACAATGCACAGTTGTACAGGTTCCTTTGCAACTCACGGTGTGTTTGCCAAGTGCAGGAGTAACACATGGCAAGTTTGAAATCTGTGTTGTTCAGCAGGATCACTAGCCCATGCTGTTCAGTCCTTAGCAAACCAATGACCACCAAAACAATTAAAACCTACTCTCTATTACCAGTCTTGCGCAAAAGTGTATGTTTTGCAGTTATCCCAGAGCTTTCTGAGAACTACTGCTCTCAGATTTGCCTTGGTAAGAAGAAATAGAAATGCATCTGATGTTCTTGGCTTGTTTTTCAGTTGGACCTGTGATAATGAAATAAATCACTTCCCATTAGGAAATTAAAAATTATAGAAAAATATCCAGGATTGTTAAAAGCAAAATCATGACATTTGGTTTAGTTTCAGATTGTTCAATGGCTATGGCTGCAGTTACAGTATATTCACATCTGGAACTCCTGTTATACCCATTGTTTTATTGGTAATAACTCTGCCTTCCACAGTTTTCTCTTTGCTCTGTGCTGGTAAGAAGCTCTAGAAGAGTGAAACTTAAAAGTATCTTTTAATCAATGTTCACCCCGTTCCATGGATATAAAAGATTATTGACTTTTTTATAAAAGAGTTTTCAGTGAAGGAAGCTTTAATTCACTTCTTGAAAAAAGGTTTGCCACTGCAGACTTGCTGATGTGTTGTATTCTCATGGAAAATTGAATCCAATCTGTGCTGGTGAGGCATTTTATGAATTTTGTGGTAGATTCATTTAAATATAAGTTTTCTATTGGTTTGAGATGAAAACAGTTTTACTGATAACTGTTTATTTCATAAAGTATCTGACTCCAAACACTGTGCTTTGGAGAAAGAGGTTGTTTTTATTTGTTTATAGATCAACAAGATTTGAGAAGGCAATTTTGTGAATCATGCTGCATTTTATTGCTGCATTTGGGGATAAGAGCTTTCTCTTGTGTGGAGCAGAACACATATTTTTTTATAGGATGAAGCTGGCTTTCTTAACAGCACCAAAACACAACCATAAGTTGCAGAATTCCAGGCTTAGTGCTAATTTGTTGAAAATTTACCTCAATTTTCAGGAACACTTGGTAAGATAATGAGAAATATGTCTTAATTAAAAAAAAATATAAATCTTTAGTCAGTTATTTTGTTAGAGATTTACCGCTGATTTTATCCAGGCAGACTAAATACAGGTCTGGCTGTAGAGAAACTGCTCTTCCTTCCACCAATAATTTCCCAGCTCCTCCCACAATATATGAAGAAAAGAGGGTTGGTTCATCACCCCGATCAGCTTGCAGCAGGATACCATCATTGCTGCAGAATAATACACATAAATTTGTAAAATATTTTAGCTAGCTCAAGCTCTTACTAGGTGATCAGTTTTTGCCTCAGTCTGATATAAAGTGGGCCCCAAACGGATGTCTTACATAACATGGGTATTAACTCTTTCCTGGCAAATGAGCAATAGACCATGCTATTTTTTTTTTTTTTACATCATCAACAAGGTTAGTGGAAAGATTGCTTCCTCCTCAGTTGTGTAGAGAGAGCCACATCCTGTCTCAGTATTGCTCTTCTTTTTTATGACTTTATATTGGTTGGAGATGAAATGACCCCAATTTAGTGCCATGGCAAAGTTGTGATGTTTCTTTACTACACACTTTTTGGACCAGGAGACCAGATTCATATTTGTTTTCCTTAATATCATTTTGGATAGCTCTGAAGGAAAGCAATTAGTTTGTGTGACCCATTGATTTCCTGAGACCATAGATTATTTCCATGTGTCCTAAATAGGGTGTAAGTTTCTTTGGAATGAAGACATGAAAAGGATGGGGAAATAGCAGAATCTCTAATAGAGCTGATGTGTTTTCTTATTGCTTTTCTTTGTGTGTTGTCATGGAGAATAGCCTGAGAGAGAGAAGCAGTGGTTGAGTTTAAAAAAAAATCCAAAAAACAATACGGGAAAAAAGAATACTCAGTGATTAGGCAGGAGTCTGGGATTATTCATGCCTGGTAAAGCCTCCCACAGGAGTGTTGTTCAGGTCATGTCAGACAGGCACTGGATAGGCACAGGACTGCGAGACGCGGCTCTGTGCCACGCTCTGCAGAGATCCCTGCTTCAGAGAGTTGTCGCTCTTGTAAATACTGGTGACAGTGGGCTCTTCTATCAACTTGCAGATGGTCTAGCTTTACTCACCTTTAATTTGCCTGTGAGAAGAGCCATCACATTTTTCAAGAGGGATATGAAATGGGGTTTTGTTTTCCTGAGAAGCAGTCTGGTGAGGTGGAGGGGTTACATTAGGGATGTTCATAGCGTAGCTCTGCAGCGGATCAGGTAGCTAGCGGCTTTGCATAGCAACATTGTGGCCAGCGTATTAAATCATACCTCACTTTATGCTGCATTTGTCATCTGGGGGCTTCAAACCCTTCCTAAAAATAGAAAAAAGTGAATGCTTTAGTTCCCACGCTAGAGAAGGAAAGGTTGAGGCAAAGAGAAGTCAAGTACTTTGTCCGCAATCACATAACCAACCAGTGTGTCTGGGGAGAATTTACTCCAAAAGCCATACCTTCCATCTTCAATTACCTCCTTTTTTGTTCTGTGGTCTTCTCTTTTAGTTTTGTTTTCTATGTGTTTATGCAGGATTAAATATATAGACTGCAAATGCATAAATAAATTCAATTGTGTTATTTTTGCAGTGACTAAATTGCCCATATATTTTGTGTGATTTTTTTTTCTATAAGAAATATTATGAAACTATTTAATAGGGAAAAAATACATGTTCTGCATTAAATAAAAAAGGCAAAAGTGAAGATAATTTTTTTTTTATTTTTCAGGATTTCTTGGAGTTAGCTAAATGACTATCAGTAATTTAATCTCCCCGTGTTTGTAAACCCTCCTTGTGGAGCCTAATGAAGCATTAAAATGCTGGAGTTTTAACTTCTATTTTTTAACTTCAAAACACAGAACAAAATTTGGGCAAACACAGCAAAGTAGAAGCTGTCTGTGGATGTGAAACAGGAAGCAGTAGTAGATAGACATGTGTAATAGAGCTGTGTTTGCTCTTGCTCAACTAGATATACATCAATTTTAATTAACACGTTTTTTGCTTCAGCTGCTAACGTCCCTTCAGCAGTGAGTGGGTTATGTGTTTCCATCCTGCATATACCACCAGCATCACCACCACGTCCTTCTCTAGCTTCCCCCTCCCCTTTCTACACAAATGTTGCAACACAATCTGAAATTTCCTCTTTTCTTTCCTTCCTGCATTTCTTACAGGTTCCTTTGCGTCAGAAGGCAAAAAAGAAAAGCCAAGGTAATGAGAGATTGTTTTTTCTTTTCTCTCCTGCATTCCTCTTTTGTTATTTTCTTAGTATGTCTTATTCTTGGGAGGGTGAGGATTTTGTACTGCTACTCATCTGGTGAAAAGCTGCTTTTTAACTCCATTGATTCTTACACTGATTCTGAGAAAAATGACAACGGGCTGTTCCTTTGGACTAAATCCTTGTGGTATGTTAATTGAATCAAAGCTGGAAATCAGTGAGGTAGAATCAGCTGCCTGCACAGACATACACACTAGTGGTTTTCATGTACTTGGCATAATAGTTTTCTCTATCTGACTTAAATAGATGTATCCTTTTCAGTGCAGCTGTGTGAGGGAAAATATGTGCATGCTTCTCTTAAAAGGATCAAAGGCTGTATTTTTAATTTACAAAACCTAGTGTACGGTTATCTTACCATTAATTAGTATCTGCATTATCTATATCTTACTGTTTAATTTCTGAACATCAGCAAGCCTTTCAAATGAATATGTGTTACTGTCACAGACATTATAAAACTGAATTACTTCTAAGTATATTTTAAGATGTGCTTGGATGACTTGCTGAGGTTCCTAAGTAAGGATGATATCCTTAATTGGCAGCAACATCTTTCCTGGTAATGCAGTTTTAAGCAAGCACAACACTGTATTTTTAATGGCACAGGGTTCTTTATAATGAGCCGACGGAGGATATCATGCAAAGAGCTGGGGCAAGCCGATTGCCAAGGATGGCTCTACAAAAAGAAGGAAAAAGGAGCTTTCATTGGCAACAAATGGAAAAAGTTCTGGTGTGTGCTAAAGGAGTCATCGCTGTATTGGTACAGCAGTCAGCTGGTGAGTACAGCGTACAGGCAGCTCCGGGTGCCAGCATCTGCTGGGACTGAGAGAAGGGAACCTGGGGTCGCAATTTAGGGGCACCCAGGACGAGTACAAGTAACTGGGTTTATTTCTCAGCCCTGACACTTCTTGTGAGCTGGGAAGTGTCTATATGAATTTGAAATATGCAGAAAACTGTGTATTTTCTAGTTCAGCAGGTACTTGTGAAATGTTAACTTGCTGTCTGTTTCGTCCTGTAAAGAGCTGTTCTTTAAAGGCTCTGGTGGCATGTGAATTTGAGAAATGTTTTCCTGAGTAGAGACAGTTTGCAAACACTTATTGTCAAAACTCAAAACAGGAATGTTTCTTCACTTATTATTAATTTAATTTAATTTAATTTTCAGTAGTGTCGCTCCTATTTCTCTTTCCTTCCCTTTCCACACTGAGATTATTCTGTTTGTCTGCTTTCTTTTTCTTTTTTCTTCTATTTTTTTCCTTTCTTTTTTTTTTTTTTTTTTTTTTTCCTTTCCTCCAAATAGTAGAAGTCAGCTGGCTTTACTCTGGGCTTGTTTGATTGGGCAGACAGGGTGTCTTGCCCATCCTAGGAAGATTCACATATAGTTATATAGTTATTTCTTTCACTTTGCTGTCTGGCACTGCTACCTCTAAAAAGCTCTTATCACATTCAAATGATGGAGTGACAGATCTAAGAATTAGGGTGTGAAGAGAATTAGGGTATGCCAGCAAAAACATAGTTTGAAACTTAGCAGCTTCAGTGTTGAATAGTGGATGGGCATGAGGTTCCTTAAATGCAAAGCAGCTGCTCTGGAAATCAGCATGTCACAGGCACAGCAAAGGATGAAAGATTAAAGGAACCCTTATTAATTCTTAGAGCATTTAAAAATATCAAAGGCAATCTGCATGATTTCCACTTGTTTATTTCCACTGCAGTAATCCCCATCAAAATTTTTGCTAACTGTTTTTTAAGCCATTAAAAAATCCTTGTACCCTAAAAAAAGCTTTACTCATGCAGACTATTTCACATTCTCCCTTCAGTTGTGAGTGTTAGTGTTAATGTTTTTTTGTGAGATGTTTATTTGCTTGTGTGTGTGAGAGAGAGTTTTTTTGTTTGCTTTTTAAAAATCCAAATAAAAACTTTGACTGGTACTTCAAGATGATATTAACTATTTCTTCTTGGGGTAAAGGAAAGCAACTTTGCTAGTCTTGGGCTGTTGTTCTTTATGATGTTGTGGTAGCCTGATAGAGATTCTTTTCAAGACTGTCAAATACATGCATACTAGAAAGAAAATAAATAAAAATATTGGGGAAAAAAGTTTTCAAAAGGCACTTTTTTCCTTATACTTACAATATTTCTGCTTGAAAGACATGGTGAGGCAGTAATACAAATAAGCAGCATTAATACCTTGCAAAACCTTACTGGCTTTTTAAAATCTATGTTTGCAGTGTGCTTCTGGCCAAGCAGTTTTAAGAAAGGTGAGCTGGCTGGCTGACGTGACTTTTTAGACACAGAAGATATCAGAAAGGAATAATCCCAAGGAGTAATCAAGATGAGAGGAAATAAAAAAGGCGAGACTAGGAGAAGTTTGCCCCTGGGAAGAGAAGAGTGGTGGGGGAGAGGTGCAAACTTCCTCCACTTCCTTCAGTTGTTCTGGCCAGGTTAAATTCCACTCCTGAGATCCAGAGAAACCATGATCATGCTGGTTCCAGTGCTTCTAGACAGCACTCACCCTTTTAGTCCATGCCTGCTTCCTGACTGTCACTGATTGCCCCCAAAAGAACAAGGCTGAAAAATAAATGTCAGGCTCATTCCAGTTTATTTTATGTCCTCTGAAGAGCTAATGTGGCTTCAATATATTGTTGTCTTGTGTCAGCCCTGAGTTCTCACCTATCCCAGCTGTGCTTTAAGCATGCTAGCCAGTAGCACCCCTTTGCTTTCTACTTCTGTCAACTCTCACACATATTTTATGTTAAAAACTCATGGTTTCTTTGGGCAGCTTAAAGTGCAGCCTATTTATTTAATCTATTTAATTATAATGTAGTAGTATATATATAATATATAATATATATAATATAATATATAATATAATCTATTTAATTATAGATTCAATCAGTGTTTGCAGAATGTCAGTAACTGTGGGGTTTGGAAAGGAGGAGAGGTGTTCTTTGCTAAGGCCTGCACTCTTAAATTCTTGAGACCAGAGGCATGCTCAGGGTTGTATGTGGGTCAATTAGACCCAGATATTCTTACTTCAATATTGATGAAGGAGAAATAGCAGTGACACATTGGCTTGCTTGCTTGACAAGTCTCTGGCCTGGCATTAGGACTGCCTGCACTTCCACTGTCTTCAGTAAAGTTAATCCTTGGTCCCAAGGGGGTGTACAAGATGACAGTCTCAAGTTCTGTTGAAACAGGAATCCTGCTTCTCACATGCCTGAGGCTTCCTGTGACCAGCCCTTTTACAGGGGCTGATGCCAAAGGTGCTGATGAAAGAGTAGGGCTGACATCAAAGGGCCTGGGGCACACTGAATACCTGTAGCTCTGCTTGACCAGTTTGGCTCTGGTGAGAAATGAGCTTGGTTTGTTTGTGGCTGTGTGAAAACCAGACACTGGCAACTGTAGCATAGCAACAGGGAGCTGGACCTTTTTTCTAATGGAGATGGAGAAAATAGAGAGTGGGTGGAATTTGTAGGGAACATGCATTATCCTGGATTGGGGTAGATAACCTCATCTGCATATCATCTTCTTGGTCAAGTTGTCTCCATCTGCCTGTGGAGCTCTGGATGTTTCTGTCACTCAGGCTTAATTTTTCAAGACACTCTGGTTCTGGGTCTCTCATGAGAGATAGATTTGGATACATGATACAGGACACTTGTTGTGACATTTGCAGCTGATATTTCCTTCAATTTAACAAAAAATATTTTGTGAATGCCACAGCGCAAATGAGTAAAAGAAAATAAATGTGTCAGCAGTAGCAGATCAGACACCCTAAGAGTTAAACTTCTCCTTCTGAAAGAAAGCCAGAGAACACAAGCAAATGTGAATAAATTTTTGATGAGTGATTTCAGCAGGCTTGGGTAGGCTGCCCTGGAACTTCTTTCCACACAACCTTCTTCTTTCTATAAAACGTGAGGCAAGTAAACTTCTCTTTGCAGCATGGAAGCACTCCCAGTCTGGGGAGGGGAAGCTGTTTGGACTAGGAGGAAGCACGGAAGGGCTGGTTTTGCAATGAAAACACAGGACATGTCAGAAAATATATCTGGGTAGTCAAAATTTCTGGGTGCATTCAAGAACACCAGACTCCTTGGACAACTGCTCTTCATTAGTGTTTGGGTTTTTTTGGTTTTTTTGGTTTTTTTTTCTTTTTTTAGTACTGCTCGCTGTAGGCAGCTGCCTTGAAGACAAGTGCCTGACCCTTTAGCTGTTTCAATTCTCATACTGAAACCCCAGAGGGAATTAGTACTCCTGCATAGGAAGAGGGGTGGTGGGGGAGGATTGTCACGTGTAATCCCAGGCTCCTGGCTCTTTGTGCTTGTTTTGACTGTGTTGGATAGTGTTGGCTGGAATGGGACAAAAGACTAAATGCCTCTGTCTGGTGGGTCTTTAGGGTAGCTTAACTGGTTTTCCACATAGAGTTGAAATAGATTTTTATAGACTGTCTTAACGATGGTTGTCATGGGGATTCAGGCTGAAAAGAAATATAAATATAAAATTAAAGAGATGTCACTATTTATCTTTGTATGCTTTTTTCCCCTCATTCACTGCATTTGCATTGGTCCTCACTCCAACAGCTTTGCTGGAAGCTGTGTAATTATGGTCTTTTAAAAGAAAAATCTTTTACCTTTGAGTTGTAATAGCTGCTTATGTGGATGAGAAAAAGCCATTGATGTCAGCTGATTGAACTGAGAGGCTTAGGGACCTATGGCCCAATATCTTACACAATTTATTCACAGTTCTATAGGATGCCTCATTGGTGTACTTGCAAAAAAATAAGAAAAAAAGACTAAAATGCTGAACTGCTCCTCCAACATCCATAGTGTCTTCTGGGGGCAGTACTGAAACACTGATGAAGCCTTGAGGACTACCCTGATTTGCAGATTGGAGCTCTTCCACAATAACAAGATATTTCATTTTTTCAAGCACTGTTTTTTAAAATCTTGCTGCAACATTACACTCACTTTAAATGACTTACTAAATCTCCTAAAGCCACAACATTTAGATAACATATTGAGGCAAGCTCAAAAGGACATTAGCCTCTTTCACTGGATTCATGCATTGTGTTTCATAAACAATTTCTTTTTTTTTGAGTGCAAAGCTTTTCCTGTGAAAAATGGCTACTTTCTTTTTTTTTTTTCCACAAGAATTTGCAGAGACTGTTGTTATTAATGAAATTATTTTTCTACAACTTGGAATAGCAAAAGCACAGATTTATGTTAGGCTAACCTCCATAAAACCCACAAGAGATAACAGCTTATTCTTTTAAACATCCTGATTAAGTAGAAAACAGGTCAAGGTTCTTTGTATCTGAGTTTTTTAGGGCTATTTTACAGCTTCACATCAAAATCTGAAGGAATCTTGAATGAAACATGTGAGTTAAATAATAGCATGCTAAAGCCATGTTAGAGATAACATTTTGGAAGAAAGAAAGCACTTAGGATTTCTATATGCTTTAAATGTTTTAAAATGTCATTTTTAGCCCAAGAATGACTGAAAAGATGACTTCCACATGTTCTGTTCCTAGGATTTATTTGGAATTCTATTTGCTGACTGAAATAACACCCTTAAGATTTTTTAGTGATTTTTTTTCTTTTTTCCTTTATTTTTTTCCTGGTAATTATGAAGCTACATACCCCATCAAACCCCTCTTTTCTGTTACATAGGTGGCACATTTTAGACGTGAACAAATAGTGTATTTCACTCATACATAAAATGAAACATATTTTTTTCTTTAAATAAACAAGTATGAAATCACAGACAGAATTAGTATAAAATCTGAGTGCATTGAGAGAGAATGTGTATGTGAAAACACAATCATTTACCAACTAGAACAGGCCAAATACTGCATAAGAAATAGGGGGGTTTTCTGTTGTACAATTGTTAGAATTAAAGAATTGAAATCAAGGCCTACAGACCTATAGACATTTGTAATTTAGAGGGTACTCTTCTAGTTTAGATAGAGGAATCTATTTTGATCTAATCTAAATTACTGATGGATTAAGTCAATGGTTCAAGTCCAAGTTCCATTTCTGGGTGGGAGTGTTCCAGGTGAGTGTCTCCCCACTGGCTTATGGGTGCTGGTAATTCACTAGTCCAATACAAAATCCAAACACTCAAATACTTTTGTACATTGACAGTAGAAACAGTGACTTATCTAAAGGCATTTCATGCACTTAATCCCCTCAGGAGTGCTTTTGCAGCACTCTAGACTGTTTATAGGGTGCAGTCTAGACCAATGGTCACTGCACTGATGGACAGAATTGGCTGAGCTGTAACTGCAGTCAAAACATGGAAGAAAGGCCAAACCTGTCCCAGACCCAAGTCACCCACTTACCCACCTGATGGCTTACCCAGCTCAGGCCACAGATTTATTGCTGTGTGGGTACCTGGGTATATTCCTTAACCCAGGGTCTCATGGATAACTTTTTCTTAAACTGGGAGTATGGATTCTTACTACAGAGAAGCAACTGGCATTGTATGCATTTCTCATCCAGTGGTGTGTGCAAAAGTGATTGTTGTACCTCATGGACAGCTTTTTTGAGTTTGGTTCATGGTATTCTCAAATTTGTCTTGGGAACTAAACAGGAATTTTGGTGTTCCAGATCCAGTAAGTGATCATCTTTTTGTAACAGAAATGCTGGATAATACAGTCTCTAGCTTTAGTACAGTGCAGCCCAAAAATAGTGCTCCTTCATTACTCACCAGTATTTATTTTCTCATTCCTATATATTTAACATACTATGCATCTGGGATGCTAATACTAGTTAGTTGTCATTTTATCACAATGACTTTAAGCTTATGAAATTCCAACCCGTGGAATGGAAACAAAAGCTCTCCAAGCTAGTCACTAAACAAGTTTTACAGATACAAATACAATCAGAGAGTGTTAAAAGCCCACAGTAGCAAATAAGCACTTTTTCATACAAATATTACAAAATGAAACTTTTTCAGCTCCAATGTAAAAAATATTTTTTTTCTCCTGTACTGAAGTAAGGAAAACCCCTTCCACTGATGCTGTGTCTGTGTCTTGGAGCAGCAAAACCGTTTATTGGTGATGATATGAAATATAAACTCCTCACATTAATGTTTAATACATGTAAATGACAGGAATGATGGTTAGGTCATGATTTATTGTACGCCATAATATACAGATATGAGGGGAAGCCACCCACTGAAGTAAGCATTCTGTATCAATATTTCAGTTCTTGGAAATTCATACTTCCAAGCACTAAAACTCAAAGACTTGTCTTGATGAACATCTTTTTACAGTCTGATCATATTCATGCTTAATGAGACTTGAGATACTGTCAGTCATCTTCATCTGTCCTCTGCCTTTGTAATTGTTGTGTGTATTTTATCTGCTTTAACTCAGTGTACACTTTCAGAATTTTAATGTGCCTACTAGCAATGGCTGGGAGCAGCAAAAATGTAATTCAGGAATGAGAACTCTGTGTTTTGGAAAGTGCCTTTTTTTTCCCTGATATTATGTCCTACAGACTTGTCTACATTACATATTCATCTCATCTTAGGAGCATCTAATCTTATTGCAGATGGCCAGGTGTATGGAGATAGATGTAGTAAGGAAGATCCTTCTGCCTCAGATGTTTCAGGCAGCACAAACAGGGATTTGAGGCTTGTCACTTCATTTTTTCAGCTCTGACTCAGAGTCCTGCTGACTGAGAGCAGAGACGTCAATGCTCAGTGAAGCTCCTTGCATGCAGAAAGGGCTGACTGCATATAAACAGGGTACTGTGAATGTGAATGTCTGCCTGGATATTGCTACCTCTTGTACCATGCCTGCAACTTTCGGGGGTAGTGATAGCTGGGAAGACCAAAGCCCTCCGAGGCAGGTCTGCAGTGTTTAATCACAGAACTCAGCTGCGTGGGACGATCCCCTTGCACCTTGTGGCATGGGAGCAGCCAGCATTGCCTCTGCCTCGCTTGCCCTGCAAAATGGTCCATGCTGCAATTACACAGGGGACACCCTCCTCCATTTCTACTTAGAATCATCTTGGGGCACTTCTGAATTGTATTTTTCAGCTACACATAAGTCATTTTATATGTTGCTGTTACATGTCTGTGTAAGATACCCACATGCTGTATCATGGCACAAACACGCCTTTGAGATTGTAGGTGCCATCCAAACCTGAACAGATGATATAACACTTTTTCATCCTTACTAGTCAACAAAATCTATGCTTACACTCTGCCACTTGCACCAAGAGGAGTGATGGCTTTCCAGCATCCTGGATTTGCACAAATATAGCTGGTATAGAAATATTTCATCAGGGGTTAATCTGTCCCCATGGTGATGAGCATATATTTTCACAGTATAAAAAGCTGCCAAAAACAAGCACTTGCATGTTGAATGTTATTCAGCATTGGAATCTACTGGTTTACCAGTTGGTTGATGTGGTGATATTTAATTTTTTTTCTTTTATGGAAGGCTGAAAAAGCAGAAGGATTCATAAGACTTCCAGACTTCAGTGTGGATCGAGCAATTGAATGCAAAAAAAAGCAGTAAGTTTATCTCTTGTTCCGAGTTTTGCATAATTTTTACAACATTGTAAGGAATGAGTCTCAGTAGTCTTTGACAGTGAAGCTGTGGGGAGTTCTTTTGTGTTGTATAAATAATGAGATATTAATTGAGCTACTGAAAGAAAACCATATTGCAAAAATATTTTTGAAAAATCTGTACCAGATGTGCTTTGCTAAAACCACAAATAAAAAAAACCCAAACACATGAGTGTTCCAAATGCTTTCTTTTTCTTCTTCTTTTATTTTTTTTTTTTTCATTTGCTGGTTATGAGTAGACTGTTGTTCTCAGATGCTCCCTCTTAGTTGAGGAGGTCAGCAGTGGTGCAAGTAATGCCGCATCCCTCCAAGCCTGGACTATTCTTTAGGCTGCTGTGATGCAACTGAGCTTGGGCTGTACTTGGGGCCTTTGGTTGTGCAGGAATAAATACTTTCTTTAGCAGGGTGCACATTTAAAAATACTCTCTCCAAACTCCGTATGCAGAACTGACTTCCAGCTTCTTCTGAGTACACTTCAAAGGGTTTGGAGGGGTGTTGCGGTTGCTCAAAGTCATAAAGTGCAGCATGGTTTTAATTGTGTCCCTCAAGAGAAAACCTTCATTCTTCTCATGGAGAAGTCAGAAGAGCCAGTCACTGTTCACCCACTGTGTGCTGCTTGTGATGTTACTGTGTCACATGTCCCTTCCCTCAGCCATCAGTTTTCCATGCTTTGGGGTCTTAGCCTGATTGACCACAGCACACAGAAGCTGTTTCATGTCTTGTGTCACTACTGGTGCTTTCTTCCAGCATTTTTCAAGTTTGCTTTACATCTTAGAGTTGGAGGAAGCAAAACTGCACATAGTATTTGGGGTATGAGAAGGCAACAGAATTATGTAATGAAATAATGGAAGACTTTGTTTTATTCTTTATTCCTTCCCTTTTAGTTCCTGTAGTTTATACTCTCTGAATAGCGTGTGGCCTAGGAAATGAGATAAAAATAGACTAGAGTTTTAAAGAAAGAGCTGTATTGATGGACAAGCTAATCTGGATTCATACAGTGAAGTGAATAAATATTTTAAGTAATTCATTCAGCTATTATTTTTTCTTTCTTATGGAAACTATTTTTCTTCACATCTCTTTTTTTTTTTTTTTATTTTCCTAAAGTGCTATTAAGATCAGCCACCCACAGATCAAGACATTTTATTTTGCGGCAGAAAATGTTCTGGAAATGAACACGTAAGTAGGAGCGACTGGTCATGTTTCATCCTGTCTCATGCCTGAGAACACTCTTTGACAGTTCATTCTTTCACTGTCAAGCAGTCATTGACAAAGTTATTTGGGGAATTACGGAGTCTAATTTTTCTGGTCGCTAAATGGAAGAAAACTATTGCTCTTTGTTCACTAATTATGATTGAAATCAGAATTGCATAGTTAGGCCAATTTTGGTGCTAATCTTCCCATCATTTGCTGGTATAACTCCCTTTTTGTTAGAGTGGTGATAAGATTTGATAGCAAGTACAGCACCTGGGAAGAAGTGAGGGGAGAAAGGACAGAGAGGGAAAAGCTCCAGAAGTGTTCTAGGACTAGAAAATAACAGTTTCTGATTTCAGAGTATCATATCAGCTAACAAGGAGGGTTAGAGGGATAGAAAGGTCTGTTTCCTTTATATAAATTTGCACTAACTTCAGTATCAAGATGTGCTGTAGTTGAATGATCCTCATGGCAGGTCAGACATTTTCATTCCACAAACATCCAGAAGATTAACAAATAGCTCTCAATGGAAGAAGTAAAAATGGATATCAATGCTGCCATTTTCAAAACCACTGAGCTATCAGAAAGATATTATTTTCTACTGATCCAAATTTGGCTGATTTAGATATATCTCATGTCTTTGCCCTTTTTTTGTCAGATCACAGTCTGTTCTCTGTGCTATTGCATTAAATGGCCAAATACTGGATACAAAGCAGTACAATTTAAATGGGAATAAAGCTCCTACAATAGTCGGGTCAGGATTTTAATCATGGCTCTACTGGTGATTTTTCACAGGGCAATGACTACTCATTCCCTCTATAAATGAGAGACCTCATACCTATTTACCACAATAGGAAAAGAGAGAGGTTGAGAGAATGTGTGTGACCTTCTGAAAGATGTATAGATACAGAAATGTACAATATTACAATAGTGTATGTACATAGGTATGTATTAATAAATCTGTACTGTACAGATGCCTACAAGTAAATATAGATGAAAAAATCCATTGCCATTTGCAAGCTGGAGCAGCATGGAGCATTCTGGTGGGGAGATAACCATCCATTTCAGTGTTCCTGCATTTCCCACCAGAGCTCCTGAATGGAGTGACAAGATCCTGAGGCAGATTGGATGAGGATGACTGAGAATGAGGGACAGCTGGACAGGAATATTTCAGTAGAGAGGGTAACCCTGGTTAAGAGAGAAGAGATGGAAGAACGTTTGGAGAAGGAAATTAATGCTAATGGAGGATATTAGTAAGTGCTAACAGCCAGTTTGGAGCCCAGCTGGAAATTCTCATGTGAAAAATGCTTGGTCTCCTTTGAGTCAGTGATTGAAATCTAAACAGGTGTCTCAGCTTTTATGCCTCTGGAATGATTTTGTTCAAACTCCACTGCTTGATTAAATTTCATTTTGGCTTAAAGCTAGGTAGCCTAATGTTAGAGCAGGCTGCACTATGCTGTACTAACCCCCCACTGTTGTAACTGATGATGTTTTCCTTGGCAAAGTACAAAATACATGCATTTAATACATAAAGTACACGCATACTCATGCATATGTTGAAACAGACTAAAAGACATCTGTTCTCTTGGCTCCAGTCCTGCAAATGCACGTGTGAATGGTTCCACTGAACTCACTGGAGCATTTGTGTGTGTCAAGTTACTAGTGTGCATAAATGCTTGATGGATCATGACCTTTTGTTACTCTTCATGTGTATATCGACATATGCATATACCTGCACATATATCTCTATTAAATCAACAGTAGATTTATTAACAAAGTCATTTATTTCACTAATTTATCATGTATTTGCTATTGTCATGCACACATGAAAAGAAAAGCCATGCATTTAGCTGGCCAGTTGTACATAGTTATTAGAGACTTGTCTGCCCTCGTCATTAATGAAGACCTAGAAATTTTTTAGCAAATCTTTTCCTTGTTAATGTGGATTTTCATTTAAAAAAATCATTCTGTTAGGATTAGCTGTCAGAAAAGAGTCAATGGACCACTCTTAAAGAAATGAAACTTTGTTTTTCTGATGTCTTTGTAACTCTATTGCTCAGACTGCAGTCTAAAAGTGCAGTTACTTTGATGCTGATCTTACTATCAAATTCCCTATTGCTTTAGTAGAACCAAAATCAAACAAAATGTTTTTTTTTCCTGGTAATGAATTCCTGCCCTTCATACTTTCTCTATATACGCCTTGAGTTTTAATCTTAAAAGCTGGAGCCTTTTCAGTTGTTATTTACTTAAAATGTGGATAGATCTGAGTGAACTACAGGCAAACACAATATAAAAAATTATGACTAGGGAATGTTTCTAGCACCATAAGAGTGCAGCCACCTAGGAAGACAAGTGAAAAACACCCCAGTTATAGCAGAAACCAACACAGGAAGTGAGACTTACTAAAACCAAAAGTACATAGCAAGTTGAAAAATGTGATATGTTATGATCAAAAACTTTGGTTTCAAGTGGTGCAGACTGTGCTGCAATAATTGTGGCCAGGGCAGCTCATATTATCTTCTGAGGCTCCCATGCCTGTTTCTTCCTCTCAGGTGAAAGATGACACCTCAACAGCTGGACGAATTCACTGACATGGTCTTACAGCACAAAAACTTCTTCTTTAGCTTACACAAATGGGTAATCGGTACACTACTGGGTCATCAGTAGTACATTTCTTTCAGTATCAAGGAAAAATGTCCCAGGCAACTAATCCTGTTCACTACAGGGAATATTAAAACAGAGTTGACTGGTGCCTTTCTAGAAGATGATCGAAGAAATAGAAACTTTGGCATTTAGTCATCAGGCTAATGAAAACAGATGTGATGATGTAGAAAACAGCTGAAAGGAGCAAAACTCAGTCTGAAGAGCATGTGAGTGTCCCTGACTCTGTGTTCCCTCTGTTTCAAACACAGGTGGCTAAGTAAGCTGGGAATGGCTGTAGACCCTCAGGCACCAAACAGGAAGAACGAAGAAGGTATGCTCCTGACTGGTTTCAGTGTATAACTACATTGTGTTCGCTACAGTTTTTGCTTGGCCAAATTTTTGTCGTGTATTTTGTTTCTTTTGAACTGTCATCTTGGGTCTGCCTGCTGCCTGAGCTCAGAGAAACCACATTGTCACGGTACAGAGTAACCACAGGAAAAGAAAAAATGGTGAGAAACAGTGTCAGTGAGAGACACTCGCAGGTGATCTTGTGAGAAGTGTGTAACTACTTTCTGGCAGTTTGCTGGCTTGCTGAGCCTACCTAGTGTGAAGAGGAAAGCTGTGCTGCTCTGGGTTTTGAGCTGGTGATTGTGCTGCAGCATGGCAGCTTGCAGGCCCAGGAGCACCTTGTGTTCTGCAGACCCATCCCTACTGTATCCTCCAGTCCCGGGGGTTCCAACAACTGCAGTGCTGGGGGGTGAGGGGGTGGTACTGCTGGTCTAGAGCCTACAATTTTTTTCAGAGCCAAGCCCTAGTTCATTATGGGATGAAAAACTTTAAAATTCCTAAACAATTTATTTCTTTATCTTAATTTGCACACTGACCTAATATAACTCTTTGCTGGGAGTATACCAGTACTCAAATCACAAATCTGGGCAGAGGGGCTGGTTTAGAGTGAGAAATGTTCTGAGTAATATCATGTTACCAAACCAGGAATAGACTCTAACCTGAAGAATCTGTGTCATCATCTGAGCTTTTAAGTCTCCATTTTTAGAGTATTGGTACCCAGTGCCCTTTCTGGAATTGCTGAGCTTGTGAAGGAGCTGTCATTATGAAGAAGAAACTGGTATTTGCAGTTGTATGAACACTTAGGTGATGCAGTCTGTTTTGTCTAAACAATGAAGTGTTCCTCTCTGCAGCCCTTCTACTCTATCACAAAATTCAAGATTGTGGTTTATGTCCAGGCCTGGGACATGTAATTACATATTGATTAATTTGATCTGGCTCCATTTATGCTCTACCATAAAAAGCAGCTTTTGTTTTGGTAAACACAGATGCTACTGATTCCTGGAGAATTCAGCAAGTCTCATCAGTTTCTTTGTTTTCAGTTCACATTTGTTTCTTGTCAGGAAACTTGTTAACTTGCACACCATCTAATTCTTCCTGCCTGTATCCTGTCTGAAGCCGACTTTATCAAAATACTTTAGGATAAAGGGCTATACTGAATATTAAGTTGTGTAGCAAGAACTGCAAGATACTTGTACTCAGGAAGGAAGTGTGCAAATATATTGTCCGTCTTTTCATGAACAGAAGAGTTTAATGGAAAATGGGAATGGCCAAATTTTTTTACATTAAACCAATTTTTTTAAACCTCAATAAAACATGATACTGGTTGTATTGGTTGAATCAATAATTATGAAGCAATGAAAAATGAGTTATTCCTCCAATCTTAATCTAAAAACCAGAAGTCCATAAGATATAAAATAATACACTCAATAACCTCTGCAACAGGTTGTCTAATAACTTTGCAATAACATAACATAGCCAATATCTTCAGCTTTTAAGGGCAGTCACCTGTTTCCCCCTCAGAAAAAGATCTGATTTCGGTACCAAACACCTTCTTGTCTTTTCAAGCATTTTGTCACAGGTGACCCAGCAGCTGCCTTCAGTGTGGGTGCAGCACCCACTGGTGCCTGGGTGAACACATCCTTACAGAAGCAATGCTATGTTTCATTAAAACACTGTCACTACCCACAGTCACTTCTGTTCCTGCTGATCAGTTCCTGCTCTCTGTATCACACACCATAATTCTTCAGAAGTATTGCCTCTTTTTATGGCATTTCTTGTTTATTCAGATACTTTCTGTGCATTTTAATGCACACCCCCCATTGCCATTTGCCTGTTTAGAGTATCAGAAACAGCTGTTGAATCTTTTTCAGTTTTTCTGTGTGCCTAAAAGGGGAGCTGTAGAAAGCAAAAGCTTTTTACTGAGTTACTCAAAAAGGCATGAACAGAGTCTTAGAAATTTATATAGGTCTTGTTGCAGCCAGTTTCAGTTCTTTATGCTTAGATGTGCCAGCAGATATTTCCAGTAAACAGAACAGCATCTACACTACTCAAAATCCTATGATTCTGCAAAGAGTACAGGGAGAAACAATAATGAACCTCTTCAAGTTTCTCTTTGTTAACATGTTAGAAAATTCTCTCTCATGCAAAAAATTCTTCTCTTACAACTTTATTCCCCTCCCTCTGTGCTTATTAACATCCACCCTCCCCCAACAATGACATGCAGAAAAATAAAGTGTGTGGGTATTAAATGAGCTGATTTTAAATGAAATAATCTCAGGTGACTGTCCAGAGACCATGCTAACCAACTGCTTTCTAGCGATGTGAGCCCCTGAAGTCCAGCTGTGATGAGGAATCAGAACTGGACTTGAGCAGCCCCTGCTCTCTGGGTCAGAGCTGGGACAGAGGCTCTTGGACAGCACAGGCTGCTGAGTGCTTGTGGCCAGCAAAGGGCAGTGCTGGATCCCATGGACACCACAGCGGCAGCCTCTGTTCTGTGACCCTTGGCACTCAAGTTGTCCTCATCAGGCTCTGACTTTGTCTTTGTCTTTGCAAACTCCCATGTCCCCAGTTCAGTGGGGTGGGGGTGAGTGCTGTCACCCGACAGAGGTGGTGCAGGGCAGGATGCAAGCACTTGCTCCTGTAAAGGTTGCATTTGTGTTGGGAGATGTAAGAAAACTGATCTTTGTGGCCTTTAAGTGCACAAAGAGGACGCATAAGAAAGATGGGGGCAAACATTTTAGCAGGGTATACTGAACAAGGGGTAATGGTTTTACACTGAGGTCTAGTTTAGACTAGATACAAAGATGTGATTTTTTTACCATGAGGTTGGCAAAACACTGAAACTGGTGGCACAGAGATGGGGCAGAAGTTACATCCCTGGAAACATTCAGGGTCAGGCTGGACAAGGCTCCAAGCAGCTTGTCTAGCTGACAGTGTCCTTGCTCATTACAGAGAAGTTGGACTATGTGACATTTTAATGTCCCTCCCAAACCAAACTATTCTATGATCTTGTCCAGTGTTTACTATTGCCAGGTCCTGGGCATAAGAACCAGTAACACTCTGCCTCTGTGTTTCTGTGTCTCATTTTATCAATGACTATCACTTATTTAATCTACCTTTAAACAAATTTGTGGGAAATATTTTCTCCTGCTGCACAGATAGTTGAAATAACAGAATGACTGCCTTTGCCACATGTCAGTGAGTTCAAACTCCTATGAGTTTGTTAAAAAAAAAAAAAAAAAAAAAAAAAAAAAAAAAAAAAAAAAAAAAGAAAAGAGACAAGTAGGATATTCCTATGGTATTCCTAGAGTACTGTGTTTACTTTTGGTATTACTTCTTCATATGTACTGCCATGCTGTATGCTGTGTCTATATGAGTTACCATGTGTGACAAAAGACTCTCACAAGGCTGCTCTATAGTTTTCAAAGCATTATGTGAACAATCTTTTTATTCCAAAATTGCAGCCAAAGCCCCAGTGCCTGTTGCTAGCTCCAGGAAAACTTATCAGTTACAGAATTAAGGGATTGCCTGTGCTGCTTGCAACAGCTCTCCAGCATTATCACAAGTGGATTAGGAGACACCAACTTGTTAAAGTGTAGTCCTAAATCCAGACCACCTCCTTGGTGATCTTTGGATGCCACAGTGCTGCAAAGAATAATATGTTGGTCTAACTCTTTATTTTTGCTCATTTTCCATGTCTACCTCAGAATGCTACAGTGAAAGTGAACATGATGATCCAGACATCACAGACACGCCACCTCCTCCCTACACACTCCAGACCTCACCTCCTCCTTCGGTAAGTGCTCAGTTATTACCTTGTTACTTGTTGCAAGCAGGTTGAAACAAAACCCTCCTGAGGTGGTGGACCACTAGGAATAACCTAAAACATTGTCTGGAAGTGTCCACGCGGTGTTCCTGTGAGACAGGGAGACAGACTGCCCTCCCCATGGCAGAGCACACAGCTGGCACATCCTGCACCACAGGGAGCTTTGCACTGTAAAAGATCAGCTCCTTCCTATTTGTCTTGCTGGAGAAAAGAAGGTGTTGTTCTACCTCATAGAAAAACTCTGTCTTTTCTTTACAAGATTTTTAACACACCGCTAACAGCTATTTTTTTATACTATTTTTTCTCTTTTTTTTTCAAAATCCATCCTGAAACCTCTCTCTTTTTGTGACCTTGGTAGCATATTTAACAGCTTCGTATTTATTTATTTGAGTGGGCTGTTTTTGAGACTGCTGAATTTGAAGCTGCTTTTGTGGCAGTGAAGTGAAGGGAAAGAGGCCTCTTCACACAGAAATAAAAATCTGGTTTTTTCCTTCTACCTCTGAAAAATAGACTATGAAAAAAGATAATAGGCATGCTTCCAAAATCTATGTAGCATATCGTCCCAGAATATTCCTTCCTGTCTCACTTCATTTCATAAATTAAAATAAGCACTCTGAACCCTCATGAGTCTAATCAAATTGGCTTGCCTAATTATTATCTACTTCTTGCCCTATTAATCCTGTTTCTATATAATTGTTTTTCCCAGTGATCTCATTGCCCTTATATGTGATTTAAATGGATATTTTAAAAAGTCTTCTAATTAAAAAAAATATTTTCCACTTTTAATTTTTTTTTTAAATAAAGAAAGAAAAGTTGTTGATTTGCTATAACAGGTAGCTTCACTAGTAGGTTTAGAGTGGGTTTTTTCCCTCTCTTTGTGGCCTTTAAAAGAAAAGTTTAATTTGTAGTAGAAGTCAAGAAGAGCTGTTGCAAGTAGCACAGGCAATCCCTTGATGTTTGTGACCAGTAAGTTTTCCTGGAGCTAGCAACAGGCATTGGGGCTTTGACTGCAATTTTGGAGTAAACAGATTGTTCATATGATGCTTTGGAAACTACAGAGCAGCCTTGTGAGAGTCTTTTGTCACTGCATTTTTAATTTTTTAAATTTTTCCCCTTAAAATAGAAAGTCAAATTTACTTAATTCTGTTTTTAGAAATGAATGATCTGGTTTGGGTTGGTAATAAGGAATCCTGATTCAAGCCTTTCCCTTCACTATCTGAAGGTTAACACTGAGAGGTGTGCAGTAATGTACTTAGTACTAAATATTCTCGTGGCATCTCATGGAAGGGAAGTGTGTGCTGCCTCACTGTTGTGGTACAAGTTCCTCTGTGGCACACTGAAATGACACTCAGTAGCTGGGGTGGGCACAGAAGCAGCGAAGCAGGAGCAAATCTGAAATATACAGATGAGCTAGAGAAGCTTGTGCAATCACAGGCATTAATAAAAGGAGATGTGGACAGAGTTGCCTGTCTGGCCATCTCTAAGTAGCTCACATAAAGCTGGGAGCACATGTCACACAGTCAACCACTCGCCTCCCTCATTTTCAGTCAGATAAGTCAGTCTTCACTTCCTCTCCCGAAACGTGTGATGTTTATCACCAGATCAATCCGCCTGGCACGCGGGGGTGTGAGGCTCTCACTGCTGTAGAATGTGGCTCTTTATTGCCTGTATTAACTGGAAATGAAACATGGCTGAGTGGCTATAAATATCAGAGGAGAGAAGAACTTTGGCAATATTTCTCCTGCAGCTATTCAGGGCCATGGGTCAGTTAATGAAGCGTCTTTAATTTTATACCTCAGTGGCTTGCCTTTAGGAGATGTAGGTATGTTTTCCGTCTGCTCACCTCTGAGTGAATGCCTGCATTTTTCCAGATGATGAGTTTTAAACAGGTGCTGGTTTTAGTTTTCTGTTTTTTCTGGTTTCCTGCTGCCTGTTGGTCTCTTGCTGCAATGGCCATCTCCGGTTGTCTCCTTCCCATATGCTCCTCTGGAGTGCTGGCCTCCTCATTTTGGCAGGGAACACATGGGAGGCAGGCAGTGGTGCAGATGCTGAGGGATCCTGGTTTCTCAGGCTTTCTCTTAAAGGGAATCTTCCCTTCAGCCTTTACCTTTGTCAGCTGATTTTCCAATTCTTCCTATCCTTTAAAATACCTTCACTTGTGGACAAAGGTTAGTGTCTCCTGAACAAAGGTGTCATCGTTTCACCCCAGAACTGGCTACTGGATCTGGCCACTCCATTTGCTGTGGGTCTGCCCCGTGCTCAGCTTGCTTATATAGTGAGTAGGAACAGCTCTGTTTCACTGCAAGTCAGAGTCTTTTAAATACCATATTTAATACCTCTTTCACTTCTGGACAAGTGCTGAAACAAGAAAAACACTGGAAGGATTGGGAAAGTGCAGCTTCTACTAAAAATTCTAGATTTGCAGCCTGTGGTTTTCTCAGGGAAGGCTGGTTAAACACAGCTCTCTGCCTGTTTATTTGTTGCAGAGTTCTTGAACCAAGCTGTGAAGTCTCAAAAATGTGGTGGATTTGGTTTCATATTCTGTGGGTGCAGCACTTGGCCTATTTCAGTTTTCTCAGATTGCTGCTGGAAGTGACACTTATCCTGTCAACTCAGCTCAGTGTCAAGGATGCCACAGGCATTGACTGGAGTTCATTTTTTGTGGAGGTTCCAGTTGTTGGTTTCTCTAGGTCTGGATTGAAGGCACTTGAGACAGTCATGCTCGGACTCGGGTGTTTATTATTTCTTATCAGTAAAACAGTCTCACTACTGTGAGTTTGGCAGCTTTGCATTAGAAGGCACAACATAGCTAACAGTCTCTTGTTACAAGGTCTTTTAAGACTAAACTATCCAATTAAGAATTGACACCTAGATTATTTTCCCTTTTAACCCAATAATTGATCCCAAGGAGCCTGCAATGCGGACTTTTCTGCCCAATTACAAAATGCTACTCAAACTCAGGAAGAAGGAGGAAGAAGAAGTATGAAGACGAAACTCAGGACAACACCCTGTGCCCTCCATCTTGCTTCCATCCACAACATACTAAAAATCCCAAAACCTAAATTTCTCACCAAGTGATACACCTACACTACTCTCTATAATCTATTTCACACTTTTGTGGATTCTAGTTTATCTTGAAGTCTAGAAAACTCTCTCCATGAATGAGGGTCAAAGTCAGTGCTCCCCGGCGGGTTAAGGCACCCCAGAGCAAACAGAGAAACATTCCCAGTGCCCTGGGTTTCCACAATTTATTTTTATTATTTTAAGCAGAAAGGCCTCCAAACTTCTTGACATCAACTCCAAAAAAAAAAAACAAAAAACCAAACCCTATTATTCTGGATACTAATAGAAACCCAGGTGTAGGCTTTGTTACATTTTAGAGCAGCAAACACTTTGCTGTACTTCTAGCACCAAGTTTGTACTTGCTGTTCTCTTCTCTGCTGGCTCAAACCATTTTGAAATTTGCAGAAGAAAAATGTAGTGATCATGAGGTTCCATGTGTGAGTTTGTGTACTGTGGAGGAAAAAAGTAAGTGAGGAACAAGTAAATTATAACATCTGTAGGACAAAAGTTAAACTGACCACCTACATTAATTTGTCCACGTGTGAATGGATACGTTAAAAAATCAGCAGATGTGTTGAGACAATAGATTGCAGCAGCAGCCAAAAAAGGAGTTGAAGAGTTTCATGGTCATAATTTGTCTCTAAAAAATATCTAGAGACTCATTAATCTCCAGTAAAATTCTTATTATCTGCTTTCTAAAACATGGAAATTTATTATATGGATGATTGCAAAACTTCCAGAGGAGCCACTCAAATAAGTTATGTAAACAATTGTCATGCCAAAAAAAAAACCAAAACACAACACATATGCAGAGAAAAAGAAACATCTTCTGGCAGTCATATTTATTCTCACTCATATTTTTTAATTAACACACAATGCAAATGAAAATAAAAACATATTCTCCTCAGTGAGGCACAGCCTTCATTTCAATAACACTTTTTTTTTTTTTTGTATATACAAATGCCAGAAAAATAGAGGTGAGATCTAATATCTTCCTGTTCCAGCTTTGAACAGCTGAAATTAGACCATCTACAACATTTGGGCAAGAGCTCTTAATGTTTGGTTGCTGTGCTTGACTTTATAAACGCTTCAACAACTTGTCTTTGTGGTAGGAGCTCTTAGATGAAATGCTTCATATCACCTGTGTTCCCAAGGGCATTTTTGGCACTCCTAGTTTACTACAGCATCTCCTTTGCTTGAAGATGCATATGTGAAGATTTCTATTTTAGAAATAAAAACACACCTGAAACACAGTGCTGTAGTTTTCATAGGGGAATGTAAATGTCTGGGTCCTGAAATCTTTGGCACAGTGGTATAGGAATCATGAAAGGACCAGAGAGCATGTCTTATGAGGAATGGCTGAGAGCTGGGTTTGTTCAGTCTCAGGAAGAGGGGGCTCAGGAGAAACCTCATTGCCCTCCACAATTCCCTGAAAGGAGTTTGTAGCCAGGTGGGGGCTGTGCTTACAGTGACAGGACTGGAGGAAGTGGCCTTAAACTGGAACAGGGCAGATTTAGATTAGATATACGACAAGGTTTTTTTACCATTAGGTTGGTCAGGGATTGGAATAGTTTACCAAGGCAGGTAGTGAAGTCACCATCCCTGGTAGTGTTCAAGAGGGATCTGAATCCAGCGCTGGATGACGTGGTTTAGGGGTTGCAGTGGAAGTACAGTGCTGGGTGCTTGGCTGGACTGGATGCACTTGAGAGTCTCTTCCAACCTAGACAATTCCATGATTCTATAAATGGCTTCAAAAATTTACAAAAGTGAAACTTCTATAAACAAATAGAGCTCACAATCTGATATAGATCCTCCTCATCCTCTGAACTGACTCCTTGTTACACGATGCAGCTGTATTAGAAGCATAGGAAGGCTTTGCTGTTTTTAATATGAGAAGGAAGTAGTATTCATTACAGTATACAACACTGAATGGCGGAGTTTAAAAATCATAATAAAAAAATTGTTACTCTTGGTTTGGTTTATTTGAATAAAACTTATTTCTGATTTACTTTATAAATAGATATTCCAGGCTAGCCCCTTTACTGTGTTTTCAGATTTTCCAGGTTTCCCTAGCAACACCTTTTCAGTAAGTTTCAATATTTTCAGTCTAGTTATCATCTGCTTTAGTCCTTACTCAAATCTATTCTACACAAATATTGAGGACAGAAATTTGCCAGAACCATGGTCCATCGAGTCTGGTATTCCAATTCTGGCATTGGCCAGGAGGAAATGATATGAGAAGGAGCGAATTTCTGCAGTAGCAAGTCTGGCTTTCATATCATGATGACCTCATCACAATTTCTGATAGTTCCTGCTAAGCCTTCTTGCCCTGATGAACGATTATCCCTTGAATGGACTAGGAAAAATACTTCTTTACTGTACTTCAGTGCTTGGGACCCCTTCTGTCTATCCCTGTTTATTGCATTGATGGAAGTGTTGAGTGCCTCATGTTTAATAGTTAATTTGGGGTTTTTCTTCTTCACTCTTGATTAAGCCAATAAAGTGAAGAAAAATGAAAAAAAGAAGGTGAGTGTGAGACCTACCACAGAAGGCTACATTCAGCATAATAGTTTTCCTTGGTCTTTGTTTCTGGGCATTGTCAGGTTTATATCTCCTTTGCCTTTGGCTTCCTGGGGGCTTGGTTTCTGAAGTTACTGCTCTGTAGGAGGTTGATTGCCACACCACAGGCATGTTTGGTTGAATACATAACTAGATTACATCAATTTTTGGGTCATTCAGCATTTGAGCTGCATATCTATACATCATGTATAGATATACATCATGCTGAACCTAGAAACAGGAGTAATTAGTAAATAATTTTTCTTTTTCTTTTGTTTCTGGAAAGCAGGATCAGCAGAAGTCATCATTCACCTCAACTCTGTCAAGTGAAGCATCTTGTTCTCTCTCCTCTCCTGAAAGCACTTTCAATTCCCAAGAATCATCGTCTTCCTTGACATCCAAAGTGGTTTGTTCCGAGAAGCAGTCCTGGCTTGACCTGGTTAACAGCTCTGCCATGGAAGAGGGTGATCAGCCTTTAACGTTCTGCGTGCAGATTCATTCCGACGAGGCGCCAGAAGCGGTCTGTGCAGATGCAGCAGAAAGCCAGGAAGTCCGGCTTTCTGAACCCAATGGTGGATCCCAAACCTCTTACTTAAGTGCAGATACACATTGTCTAGCTGTGCCAGATGCAACAGGACAGCGATCACTAGCCAGAGGTGAGCTAATGAGAGAGGAGGCTTTTGCTGCAGAGCCAAACAATACAAGAGTTACAGGTTTCCTTAACTTCCTTCCCTCCTTCCTTCCTTCATATTCTTCACTGAAGAGTTTTCCAGTGGCACATAATTCATAACATTTAAATTATTGCACATTAAATATATAACCTAGTATTTGGTTTGTAGGTACCTTTACAACTTTTCTCAAATTGTATCTGTTAGACCATAACCTCTGTGCATAAATTTAGCATAGACATAATTTTATTAACAGTTCTTTTTTTCAAGGCAGATATCTTTTATTAGTCAGGATTGATTCAAATGTTAACAAAGTGTGTCACAGAATGGACACTGTAACAAAACTGTAATGTGTAGGGAACAGTGAACATAGGAACAGTGAACACAGGGTTAAGTCAGTCCAATTATACAAATCTGTGCTACTGCATTTATTCAAAGTACATACTCCCTATTTGCTTCATTAAGCTTCATTGTAATCAAGAGAAAACAACTGAAATCCTGAATCAGAAAGTCTATTAAGACTGGATTTTGTTTAAGCAAATAGGTGTCTGCACAGTATCCTCCTACTGAAATTTACTGCTAATTGAAAAAGGTGGCATGGTTCCAGAATTTGGTCATTGTTACTGTTCGTAACTCTCCTGTGTAACGAGGAAATATCTCCTGCCTTTTGAGCAAAGCTTCTTTCTGAATTACAAGCAGTTAAAACCTAAGAGTTGTTCCTGGCATACAGTTCTGAGTAGAGAGGTAATACATAAGGGAACAACAACATTCCAGTGCCTCAGCTCTTCCCATGATTCCAAATCCATGTAAAGATTTGAAGTGAGTACTTTGTTGCTGAAAGAGAAGGGTTGTCTCAGCACAATGCAAAAGAAAGGTGCATCTAAGAGCTTAGACTGAAAGTAATGCAGTGGTGGAAAGAAACAACATTGGAGTTGTTGGGAAATCAGGGCATTTCTCTGTAGGTGAACTTGATACAGAAAGATGATACTATGAGGCACATTAGTTACCTGGTCAGTCCCCTGTTTTACAAATATTGACCCTTAGCTAACACCCCTTCATTTTGTCATACCTTTTCTGATTTTACATGAAAAAAAAAGGACATTAAGAAAAGTAAAATTTTCATCAAAAGTGGAAATTGACTCTGTGTTTTATGCTCACCTACCTTATCCATTTTCTAGGCTTTTCTGCTAGAAAATTCTGCAGCAATGAAAAGCAGAAAGAATTAAAATCCAGAGTGAGCATATGTGCTGTTTCTGTGCATTGGAAAAGAGTGCTGTGCTTTGAGTTACTGTGGAATCTAATTCCCCTAATTCTGGCTTTTCAAGTTGTGAAGAGGCTGGAGCTGGCAGAAATGGAGCCCCTAATGAAAAAGTCACAAAGCCATACTAAATATATTGCTTTCTGTAATTTTACCTTCTGAGATAAATTTGATAAAATAATCACTTTGGAAAACATCATTAGGGATATTCAAGTGATTGTTGGAATGTAGGACATAAATGGCACAGTGGCTTATAGATCCTGTTGACAAAGATTCAGTGGCTGCTCTTCAGAAATCTGAACTTTTGCTCAGAATATATTCCTCTGATATCATCAGAAATCCTGCAATAATGTGTAAGTTATTGCTTTCCATTGTAATGTAAGGGTGACAAATACTTTTATGGATGTCATAAAATGTGCATGATCATAATCACTTTCATAATCATTTAAATAAGTTTGATAGGCTCAATCATACTAAGCAAATGTAAATCAAGGCACATTTTGGTATGCTCCTGCAGAGTGAAAATTGGTTAAATTTTGATATGATTATTCCTGGGGAAATGAATTCTTCTGTTGCTCACTGCTTAGCTGATGGGCAAGCCTGATGGCAGAACACAGAACAATTCCATCCAAACCATGATGGTGATTGCTGACAGAATTCCAGAGATAGATCATTTCACCAAGACAGTCACTATGGAAACTGTATACCCTCACTAGTTCTTGTCTGCATCATAACCCATTGCTGACCAAGTAAACTTACACCAGACTCAGGTCTGTCTCTCCTTTATCAGTCTGCATATTATGGGCTGGGTGTGGAGAGTGCTGCTGTGTGGGGCCCTTCCCTGCAATGGGCACTGAAAACATTAAGGAAATATTCTGCAAGGAGATTAAGCTACTTCAATTTTAGCATGAAGTAGGAGAAGAAGTATTAATGTAAAATAACATTTCAGTTCCAAATGAAAATTATCAAAAAGGATGCAATTCTGGCTCTGTGGCTCATCCCCCAAGAATTGCCCTCTCCAGCTAGTTGATAAGCATGTGCATAAATACTAAGAGATGAATTCAAGTTCTTGGGTAAAATCCATCTGCAAATTCTCCTGATTTGCAATAACTGGTAAGAACACCCTTGTTATATGTTGCAAAACAAGAAGGCATACCTCAGTGCAGTGGGTATTATTTGCTTTACAGTGCTTCTGAATAGTGTTTCTGACATGTTTCAGAGTTATGAGACTGCATCCAGGAGGAGACAATTTGTCTTTGGCCCACATTTGTCCTGAAAGCACATGTTCCCTGTGTGGAAAGATGCCTCTGCTGTCATCAGAACAGCTATGTTCTTTGATAGCCTTTGATCCCAGTCCCCCACAGAACCTATGGGTGTATCTATGCTCTCTCTTTCTCCTGGTGAGGATAAAAAACCCCTGCCACACTGTTTTCTAGCCACATTCTTCAAGGTAATTCTTCAAGGTAAAACCACAAGTTGAATTTTTGGTTGTAGCTGATAGGAGCCTAGAGTTGAGGTGAAAATTTTCTAGAACTGAAGAGCACTTTTGCTGGACAAAGTCTAGAAATGGAGACCAATGTGAGAAAAGTTGGTACCTAAAAGGAAGAAAGAGTGGTTGTGGTTTTGTGAGAAGAGCTTACCATGAAAAAGTACAAAAAGAGTGAAGAAAAATAAGAAAAAATAGGAAAAGCTACAGATTCAACTAAATGATGATGGTTTATTTTTTCTACAGAAATTATTTAATGAACTCTGCTAAGCAACTGTGAGAGTCTTGTGCAAGGAGCCATAACACATAATATTCTTAACAATCTTTCCAACCACTCTTAGTGGCATTATGAACTTTGTCAGCATTAACTCTCTGCACCAGTTACTGGGAAGATGTTACATACCAGAGAGTGATACAAAGAAGGGGAGTTTATAATTTTTCTCTTTTGAAAGGAGACCAACATTATGCATCCATTTACTTTTTGGGAATATTTAAGACTTTGGCGATGCAGCTTGCTACACGCAGAGTGACAAAGGATTCTAAGCTGCCTGTGATGCAAAGAAACTGAAAGATAAACAAGAAACAGCTGAGAATACAAGCAGCTGTCTGACTACGTGCACTGTATCCAGAAGCTGGCCTTGGCCGCTCCAGGATGGCTAGACACCCTCTCCAGCCAAACTCCATCCTTTGTATTTCTTCTGGCAACCACTGGGAGAAAAAGTATATGACCCTGACATAGCACCATTATGATCAAAAACCTCAACAGCTAAAGGAAGCCACAGGAACTAAGAGGTTATATAAGAAAATAGGAATGTGTGTTCCTATTTATTTAGGGATCTACTACTATAGCAGTAAGATCCATCTTCCCTGCATTTTCCAAGGGTTTCATGATCGTATGAAGTTAATGTACTTTGGCAAGGCATTCCTATTTTACCACTTGTGGTTTATTTTACCTTAGCTCACAGTAGCTGTGGAAGATCTGGTGTGTGATGATATTTTCAAACCTGGACAGCTTTTCAAATACCTCTTAGATTTTATCTGGGTTTGTTTTGTGGGAAGGAGTTGGTTAAATAGGAGCTGGATTCATTCAATTCCTTCTGTTCTCACGACTGACATCCTCTTCCTCTCCGGAGTCTGCCTGTGCCACTAATAGCCAGAACAGATCCTCTGGTGTGCTCTGGCCCCTTTGTTCCTTCTGCAAAAGTTACAGAAAATAGCTAGATCATAGCTGAGACTAGATAAGAAATGTGCTTATGGTGAGAACAACTATGTAGAGAAACAACTTCAATAATTATTTTTTTTCTCATCAAAAAAGCTTTAGAAATCACAGTGAAAACTATGGTGCTATGATTTTCTGAACTTTCTGAAAAAGAGATATTTATTTATGTTGTTATTTATTTTTATTAAAATTCCATCCATCACTGCTGAGTCCACTATACTGTCAGACAACAGCATCTAATTGTGGTAACATAGTTTTCCTATTATTTTTTCCAGTCTTTCCTCCCTTTGTTCTGCATTTGCCAGTGAGAAGTTTGCTTGAGTTATGCTCTCCTAATTGATTTTTTTTTTTATTCTTGGAATAGATATGGAACATTATTTTCTGTTCCATAATTATGTGGGAAATGTGATTTCCCTGAGGTGACTTCATATTCCCATCGAAAAGTCTAGTACCAGTGTGAAGAAGGGCTAGGGGGTGGATAGGTAGGTAAGGGCAAAAATAATCTATGACTTTTTTCCTTCTGCTCTTTTCAGCCCTGGGTGTATGTGTTCTCTCGACTGGTGTAAAAAATTTTAGCAGAATCAGAAACAGAGGTGCTGGCAAAGCTACAAGATGCTTGTAATAGTAGCAAGAACAGGAGGAAGAAGCAGAGTTTTTTCCTTGGGATTAATACACAACTGGGGGCCTGTGAGATCTCATTTACAAAATGGGCGAACAAATATTTACATTTCAGATAAATTTAGTCAGATACGTTCTGTTGGAGGGGGTTTTCAATGCAAAATGCTCTTTCTGCCAAATATTTCCAATTTCTTTATCTTTACTACTGGGAAACAATCAACTTTATTTTTCACAGATGCTTTTTGAAAGTTCTGGATAATTTCACATATTTAGGCCTAAAGAACATTAAAGCTGAGATTTCAGACAGGCTCCTGTACTGCTCCAAGATGGAGAGTCTCAGAATCTTAATGTCTCCAGCCTCTGGCAAGTTGGCTGACAGGAGAGCGGAAGCTGGAAATTGAGGAGGTGAAGAATAGCCATGTTGACCCTCTGGGAGGTTGTTCTCATCTGTGGTACCTCCTGTTAGAGGGAAAATCCACATAAATGGCATCAAGCCTCAGAATTGTGTTTTTAGTTCCCCTAAATCAGAATTTTTCGGTTCCTCCATTATGTCTCCCCCTTTCAGATTTACAGCATCAATCTAATGCATTCAGTGGCAGCTTCAAGCCTGTAAAATGTGGGCTTTTCCTTCTGAACTTGGCTCAGGATTACTCAGGATGCTGAAGGTAAAATTCCAGATAGGTAACAGATAGTCTGGCCTCAGTTTATAGAGGTTTATTGGCAGACATATCCTTTGTCAACACCAACAGTGTTCTACACAAACACACAATATTAGGATGCTCTCTTACTTTTTAGTTGTAGTTGAAATTCATCAAAGATGGAGACAAAAGTGCTGTGTAACTTGTACCTGGCTCTATACAACCTGTAAGTTCCGCTCACCCTTGTTTTTCAGTAGTTTGCTGAAATTCCAATTAGTCCTTTATTCACCTGATATGAAGAATCTTTCCCTTTGAAATTACCTGACCCTGATTAATCCCTTGGAGGATGAGAATGGTGGAAGAATAAGAAGTAGGAAAGGAGTTTCAGGTAGAAGTCTTGAAAGTCTGCAGGAGCTGAGTGCACTTTGCTGGGCAAGTGCATCATCTGGGAGCCTTCCCCTGGGTTTTCTGACTTTGGCTCCATCTTTCTCTGTGCTGAATGTTACTGTGCTCCTTACAGTTTCCACAAGTGCATGGAAGATATCAGATTATTCAGCATGAAAGAAGAGTGATCAGTGAGGGTGTTTTCTCAGGCTTGTTGCTTTGTAACCCTCTTAGGATACTGAGGAAGTTCATGAGTTAGCCTCAAAAGGTGTCTGGAGCAGGGACCTTAAGTCCCCTCTGGGCTGACTTTGTGTAAAAGTTGCTGAGCAGGACTGAAGCAACTTTTTTCCCTTCTTACACAGTCTTTCTTGGATAACTGATAAAAATCAATTTATCTCTCAAAGTATTACTGTGCACAGTCCTGGTGGGTGATGTCTACAGCAGAGTTGAGCCAGTCCTGTGCAGAAGCTGGCTAATGAAACAAACAGCTGCTTCACCCCAAGAAAGTAGTCAGGAAACTAGTTATTGCAAGCCTCATGGCATGTACCAACAGCTTTCAGGAAATACTATTGCTGTGTATTATGCCTTACACTTCCATATTTTTTCCCTGTTTCCTGCAGCTTGTTAAATATACAACAGTTCTCCTTTTCCTCCCCCAGCAATGTACCAATGTTAGAAGTTATATTTAGTTTTTGTAAAGTTACAGTAGGCTTTTTATAATCACACAGTAGTGAAGAATAGGCCAGAAACACAGAGAAGGCAAATATTTGCAGCATATCATAAACCTTTCTTGTAACCTAAATATTTAGAAAGAACAGAGATGTAGGAGGATGCTGTACTTTATAAAACATGGAAAAGATAAGAAGCAGCCTCCTTAGAATGCTGACATATTGCAGATTTATTTTCACAGCAGCATGAGTGAGCAGAAGGACTTGTTCCTTTTGTTCAGGATATATTTGCTGACTGCAGATGATTTAGAAAAGTAAATGTTTAACTTAAAAAAAAACAAAGTGCCAAGCCAGTTCAATGGGAATACGAAGGACTGCAGTATAGAAGAACCAGCACCACTATCCCCAGTGATATGACACCAATTGTTATCCAAAGTGGATCTTCAGGGATTCATTAGCACCCTGAAAAGAGCAATAGCTGTAAGATTTTCCTTTAGAGATGACTGAAGCTGTGTGGACTGAAGGACAAGAAGTGAGTTGTGCAGTCTGTTGCTAAAAATGGCCTTCTGCTAAAACACCCCTACATATGCCTGGCACATTTTTAATTTCCGTCTGTTCATTTTTAAGTTGTTTTATTCTGAGAAATGCCTTTGGTTCAGTTTTCATCTTATTTTTTGCTATTCTCAGTTGTTACTCACTTTTCCTTTCGTGTACTCTCTGTCTTGGAAGATGGTCCTGCAGCTTGGGAGCCAACAGAATTATTAAGGTGGAGATAATCAAGATTTTGTTGTGAGGCATTACAAGGAAATTATCTGTGGCAATCTGTGAAACTCAGGGGCAAGACATTGGATGCCCCAAGGGTTCTTGCTTTAATCTGTTTTCTAGGGACCTTCTCCTGCAGCCCCTATGTTTCTTTTAATTGATCATTTTTTAAAAACTCTGTTTTCAATGATTACCAAAACCTGGTGATGAATAAGCACACCAAAGAGAATTTGCCTTGTGAGTTGCAGGGTAGAAGCATAATTCACTGCGTGTAGCATGCAGGGAGGGGTGAATGGGTGTAGATGCTATCAGAGTTGTTTCATTCAACTTAGAGCTACTGATAGTCGTTCAAATTCAGTGATATATTCAGAGCATTAAAGCAGCACTCTATTAGTGGAGATACAGGCTCACATCTGTTTGGATCATTAGCTGATTGTTAACAACATGTGAGTTTGGAAGTATGTCTTTCTCATAGGCATTATTAGCCTAAAAATTACCCTAATTGACCTTAGTTTTAACTCTAATACAATTATTTTTTGAGTTGGTTGAGAGCCTTCCGGATGGCTGAACATAACTTTTCTGTTATCTGCTGCCACATTCATGCTCTCGTACCCAATTTATTCTTTTCCTTGCAGACCAGGAAAAGTGTGATGATGATGATGAGATGGAGCGACTTTACAAGTCATTGGAGCAAGCAAGCCTGTCTCCCATTGGTGATCGTCGGCTGTCAACTAAGAAGGAGCTTAGGAAGTCATTTATCAAGCGCAGCAAAAACCCCTCCATTAACGAGAAACTCCACAAAATTCGAATGCTAAACAGTACATTAAAGGTGAGTTTGTAGATCATGCCAAGGAAAAACTTGAGAGAAAAAACCAGTTTGGCTGAAAAAAAGCAGTATAGGCTTCAGCCAAACTCTAATTACATATTTACTGAAAGCCCCAAAGAATTCTCTTGAGTTTTTGATTTTTTTTTTTCTGCTTCATTGTGAACACTGATCTGTGTTATGTTGTTCAGCTTGAACTGGAAGCAGAAGCAATAGCTCAGGAGGGACTCTTCTTGCAGAAGTTCCAGCCCATTTGGAAAATTTAATAAAGAAAACTCTTAGTTAACTGGAAAACTTGCAAGCTCAGCTAAATGCACTAAACAGGGGGGCCTTAAAAAAGGGAGAGCAGACAAAGTATGTTGATGATGAAGGACATGAAAATGACCCCGAGCCAAAAAAAGTTTTCCTTATGTGATTATCAGAGAATGTACAGGATGTGCCAAAGCTATTGTAAAGACCTCCTGTAACGAAAATATTTCTAATAACAAAAGCATCCTGCTTTTATGTTGGAAATATATCACGAACTGGAGGGGTACATGGGTTCAGGAGACATTCCATGAAAGGGCCTGTAAATCTGTCTGGAATATGGGAATTTATGTAGTGGTTTACTTGCCAGCATCAAGTGTCATGGGATTTCAAAGCCTGCTTCTGAATGGTACTGAGGGAAACAAAAAGCTTAACCATAGCATTTATATTGTAAGGAGAAGACAGAATAAATGGAAACTTGAGGATTCACTTGTTTCTTTTCGTATGCATTAGAAGCAGGAATTGAGTATCTTGTTTCAATGGATGTATTTGGCTTCAGGCACCGTAAAATGGTTGTACTTGATGATCTTGGAGGTAATTTCTCCACAGCTGGAGAAATGAATGTAAAATGGTTGGACTTGATAATCTTAGAGGTCTTTTCCAACCTTAGCAATTCTATGATTCTAAAAAGTTATCCTGCCAGGACAATCATTGGTTTGATTATTAGTTGCAATGGAATGCTTGGGTTTGGCACCTCGGCCTGTATTGAAATTCCTGAAAAGTAAAGGGGATTGGGAAGAGAGGCATCCTTCTTGGCTCTAAACCTGGTGAAGTCTTTCCTTAGTATCAAAGAATTTTCAGAGATGTGGCAGTGACTACAGAAGTATTCATTTGCACCAGCAGTAAAGTGAGCTCCCCACATAGCAGAAAGTTGGTTTAAAAAGTACACCTACTTCCTAGAATAGGAAGCTACGTACAGAAACATTCTGCAAGGTTTTCCCTGACAGGACCCTCACTAATAAATCTAAGAACCAGGTAGTGCAAAATGGAGTTGTATTTTTTGGGACAGTCATTTTCATTAATATGGAGCTGAATGGAAACCTTAATGTCAGACATGAGCAAGGAGGACAATGGTGCATTGATTTAGCATGGGAGTATTATATAAGTTGTAGTTAACTTAGGCTTGTCTAACACTTGTATTTAATAAGGAAAAATAAGATTTGGAGTGTTCATAACGTATAATATATGTTGATCTCTTTGGGGTTTTTTCTTTTTTTTTTTTTTTCTCTTTTTCTTTTTTTTATTGGTTGTGGGTTTTTTGTTTTGTTTTGTTTTGGGTTTTTTTTTGGTTTTTTGCTTTCTTCAAACTAAGAACCTGGAGTATTGGCAAGACAAATAAAAAAGCACAGACACTTGCTCATAGACAGAGTTCTCTACACAGCAGTCTTTAAGTTAGCCTCTCTGAAAGTCAAGTGCCTGCAGTGGGAAAGTGACATATTAATTACATCAGTGGAATTATGTGCTTTTAGAGTCAATTTTCTTAATATATAATGTAAGATGTAAGATAATTGGAAATGATCTACTGGAAATTTAAAAATCAGGATTTTTTAGATCCACATGTACTCTGTTTTAATTAAAACCCTGTTAGTTTGAGAAGTGATTTATGCAAGTCTCAATGCAATTTTAATTTTAGACTTTTGACTCCATGTATTTAACAACAGATTAATGTTGCTGCCACAATATATTATTAACAAAACGTGCTTTGAATACTTTGGAAGAGAGGGAATATGTGTGCAAATGCATCACAGTCTTAGTGAATGTGGGAAATAGTTTTAGTGCTACAGGAGAAATTCCATAGCATGACTTCTTGCTGCCAAGTTTGTCCAGTCGAAATACTCCTCTTCTTTCCACCTCCCTATCTCCTCTCTTCTTCTCTTAAGCTAACTGCACATATCCCTGCATCAATGCCAGATGTCTTTAAAGAGCTGGCGCTGGGTCTTAAGGGTAGGACGTGTGTAAAATACAGTTGAAGAGCTTTTGGGTTTAGAAAGCAGCTGAGGCATGACAGAAATTGGAGCAGCTGAAGCTTCATTAGAGTAGCAGTGGGATATGGACGTAGAAACAGCTGATTGCTGCTATCAGAAGGTGAAATGAATGTGTGGGAGTACTTTCAAGGTGTTTTCAAGGCAGCCCCCAGCACAGGGTGTCCTTGGGTATGATGAATGGGTGGCAGCAGGAGAAGATGGTTAGAACTATTCCATTGCTTTCACACACGGACTGCAGCGAGAGAGCCCGGCAAAAGTAGCCGTGTTGTTAGAGCAGCGTGGTGCCTCCATTAATAAATTATACCTGTTCACTGGGTCTTCTCTGTCCTGTGGTCCATGGATAGGCAATGTGGTCTGCAAAAGCGAAGTGGTTGATTATGCCACAACATGTGAGGACATCAAAGAACATCAGTGTGTGAAAGGAGGATGTAATGAAGACAGAGCCAGGCTATTTTCAGTGGTGCCCAATGGCAGAATCAGAAGTGGTGGATTCCAACTGAAACACAGAACGTTTCCCCTGGATAGCAAGAAACACTGTGAGGGAGACCAAGCACAGGTTGTCCAGGGAAGCTGTTGTGTCTCTATCCTTAGAGATATTCAAAACTCATCTGCACACAGTCCTTGGCAGCCTGCAGTAGGTGGCTCTGTTTGAGGAAGGGTTTTGGACCAAATGACTCCCAGAGGTCCCTTCCAAGCTCAACCATTCTGTAGTTCTGTGACATACAAAGTCTTGGTGTCCCTGCATCAGTCACTGCTCACATCTTACAAGTGAAACAGGGTGCCTGCAATGTATGGACTGAGCTGCTCTTGCCTAAAAGTAGATACTAGATTTATTAACAGTAGCTGGTGGTAGATGGCAGACACAGGTACTGTAGCCACTCTACTGCCAGTGCACAAATTATATTCAAAATTGTGTTCAGTCCAACTCCCAGAGAAGAGACATTTATTACATGGAACAAGTGTTTTTTGAGAAAGTTTGAACTGCTGTGAATTACAGAAATAAATGCTGTTGTGTCTCATTTCATGCAAGTACTGTCTTGTTGAGAGACAAAATAACAATGTGTAATTTTCACATGAATCTTCTTTCATCAAGTTCTGTTAAGAAGCCGATAAAATATCTACATGAAATCATACCTTGCCTTTAACTGGGAAGAATTTTTACTGTAGCATATCTTTGATGACCTGTGCTCTGAAAATGGGAACAAGCTGCCAGGAGGATGGCCATCTCCCTGTGACATGAGTCTAGTGTTCCCAGAGTGTTTTTGTTAGGGACAATGGTCTTGACATTTTCTGTGGAAATAACCACTTATTCTCTTCCTAGTGTAAGGAGCATGATCTGGCCACAATTAACCAGTTGCTAGAGGACCCAAAGTTGACAGCAGTGAAGTACAGAGAGTGGAGGAGCACAAACATCATGCTGGTCCAAGATATTTATCAGCAGCAGGAGGTCCAGGACATGTCCACAGAGAAGAGTGAAGAGCAAGAAATGACTCCACGGCCAGTCACTGAAAGTGCTATTTGATCAATGGCACATGGCAAGATTTTTCTCCACGGGTCTTCACGTACATACAATTTAAGCTGCTGTATCTTGAGGATTGTTTTTTGTGAGTGTGCTTCAAAAGGAAAACAACCCATTCTCCAAAGTTTTAAATGCTTCTGCAGAACTCATTTAATGTCAAATGGGCAATTTCCCCAAATTGCCCAAGTTGCCAAAAAAACATGCCTGAATGTGGCCTGCATACATAAGATTATTTATCAAAGCAGCAAAGAAACGTTTTTCAGTTTTTGGAGAAGAAAATTATAAATGTCCAGCTTCTGGAGGACACAGAACTATGTAATATGTACTGTATAAATATGAGATCCTTGGGATTGTTTTAACCATACAACTTATCATGAAATGAAGCTAAACTGATCCCAACAGGATGTAGTCTACTCTACCTTTTTACCCTTAAGGTAACTCAATGTATACATTTTCATCTCTGTACCCATTTACTTTCACCACTCAACCAGTTTAAACAGAGACAAATGGAAGAGTAATTATGAATGAGTTGATACTGTAGACAGCTGCCAGGCACCCAGTTTGGGCTCTACCTGATGTTTTATGAGTTTCAAATTTATTTATGGTCCAGACCAAGAAGGTACTGTCTTTCTACATGAAGAAGAGATCTCTAAGGTTTTGCTAACATGTAATTTACTCTTCAGTGAGACAAGATTCAACTTTTTTTATGGACTTGGCAGAATTCCTCGGAAGATTATGTTCTTCTTTCTTATTTTTGACAATTGGGAGTATATAAGGTACAAGTTCATCCCAGAGTCCAGCTTCAGGAAGATGATCATATTCGCAAGCCAGAAGCTAAATGACTCAACTCCTAATGTGGACCTGGAAATGTAAAACAAAGCTGCAAATATTTTTGTAAATATATGTAATTTTATGACTTATATGAATGTGACTATGTATTGTATAGACGTTTTATTTATATATTTATATATGCTGAATTTCCTAATATAAATAGGCACATGTGGATCAAGCCCACCCAGCTGTGAGTGCTTACAGATTGACTTGAAATGCCTCTTTATTTTCTGTTCCATTATAGATCACAGTAATGTCTCTGCAGCTGAGACTACCCTGAGGCATATGCTGTGACTCTTTCTTCTGCTTTTCTAGCTTTGAGTTTTAGATGAAGAAAACCTGTACAAGTTAGGGCCTGAAAGAAGTTTTCTAGAGAGTTTCAAGATTTCCCTTTGGGGGAAAAAAATAAGAGGTTTTGCTGCAGGATCATGTTTTTTTGGCTTCATTGTCCTCAGTACAAGGTTTTGGGCTTTTGCCTTCCTCTCTTCTGCAGGATTTTGCAGAGTGCTGAATTTTTGAAAAGCAAGAATTAGTCCACCATTCCCAAATGAATGTCACTATAGGAACTGTGACAATCTGCAGTTGTGTTGCTATTTCACGAAAATACACCTTGTCATTATTTTTCAATACAGTATATCTTTTAAAGCAAAATACACTATAGAGATGCAGCCATATTCATCTCTCTTTATACATTTTATCTTTTATCATAGCTTGATTGAGAAAACAAAAGATAATGGTGTTAGTGGGAACATACAAAATATTTTCCACCTGTGTAGTGATTTATTTGACTGTTGATACTGCATTTATAATACTCAGCAGCTTTTCTTTTGAAATAGAGTCAAGGAAATAGATGAAAATAACTAAATGGGGAAGCAGACACAAAACCCTCGAAGGTTAAAAAGTTATTCTTTTCAGGAAATCATCATATGAACAGTGATTTTATCACTTCACTAATTCTAACTAGAAGTTAAGCAAGAGAATACCTGGTGCAATTTGTTTGGAGTAATTGCATCTTAAAAATGGAGCCCACTTTTAGTTTGCTTTGTTTGTTCTTCTTCTTTTTTTTTTTTTTTTTAATAATTCTTCCACCATTCCCATTGAAATGCTGTCAATTAACTGCTAAGAGCACCCTGAAGATTATGAGTGTAGGGATTCATCTGCTTGGTCCACTTAATTTTAACTACCTGGTGCTAAGTAATGGATAAATATTGGAGGACAAATTGCGTGTAGATTTTCTATCACACATGTGAGTTTCTCACGAAAAAAAGCATGTAAACACTGTTTTCCTTCAAAATCGTCTTCACTTAGATGTTGAAAAGCAGCACATGCTTAAGTGGCCTGTTGAGCTGGGTCAGATAAGCCAGTGCCTTGCAGTTCTGAGCAAAGCCTGCGTCGACTCCATTTGCTGAAGTAGATTTGCTGTATACAAAGAAAAGTCTATGTGGCCTGCACATGCTCAGTTGTCTGTTTTCACACTGCACTTGTGTAAGCATAGACAAAACAGCTTTCCCAAATCTAGAGACAAAGAGATGTCCTTGGACTGCCCAAACGCCACTATTGGTTTTGACAGATTACATGGCCTGAAATTGCTTTTATTACTCTCTTTCAGATGGTCAGTAGATACTTATTGTTGATAGAACCCATGATCAGTAGGTCTCCGAAACTTCAATAGTTTTGGAGACCTACTGATCGTGGGTTCTATCACCACTTAGAAAAGAACAAAAAATTCTTGAATGGGGTTACTTTAATTCCAGTTATAACTTTAACAAATTTCTTTGTTCAGGAAAACAAATATATGGGTTTATGCAAGTACTGTGCAGAAAGTCTAACTACTACTTGGTTCAGCTACTACTTGGACTCAAAATAATGGAAAACTTGGAAAATGCAAAGTGAAAATTGCAGTGAAACAGGATTAATTTTCTGGCATTGCTAATTACTGTGACATTTTTTGCCTGGGTTTATCACAAGGGGCTGCCCAGCAGCATGAAAGCCATAATCAGAGACAGAATTATGCACAAGCTGACAGCTACAGTGGGGAGCCACCTCAACAGGAGAAATTTGGGCAAGTCTGTGCTCTGCTCAGTGATGCTTGGAGTAACTGGTATTTCTTGGCCCAGATTTGGAAAATCTGCACTATTGACTCATAGCACAGGGAGCTGTGCATCCATAGTGTGTGAATGTCAAGAAGTCTTCAGCCATCTGCCTCAAGGGACATGTTTTATATACATTTTTTGGGGAAAGTATGTATGATTTGTGCACATGCACAATTTTTCTTCTGTCAGTAAAGCCAGCTGGTGCAGAAAGTCCAGCAATGGAGATTTTGGAATTCCTGGTAATAATATCTAATTTTAACAGTTTCTGCAGCTTTTCTGGAAATCTAATCTCTCTCTTCTGGCAGTGTACATCTCGTGAGATACCAGAATGAGGTGGGATCACATTTCCTTTCCTATGATGGAAGAGATTTCATGTGGGGATTGTGAATATTTTTACATCTAGCTCTGATGATTCAATCAATACTAGGGTTTCACCTTGTCATGGTTCTAAGTGCAGATGGAGATGAAACACCATGCAGTTACTTGCTCAGCCCCCCTCTCTTTTCCTTCCCCATCCCTGTGTAATGGGGAGTAGAATTGAAGTAAAAATTGTAGGCAGAGACAAGAAAGGTTTTATAATTTAAAATAAAGTAAAATACAACAGTAATGGTAAATAATGATAATGATAAGGAAAGAAACCCAAGCAAGTGATATACAATGCAATTACTCATCACCCACTGACAGACCCCTCTTCCCAAACTCAGATCAGGCCCCCCTCACAGGTAGCTCCCCCCAGTTTATTTACTCGATATGGCATTTAAAACTCCGTGAAAATTCAGAATTTAAAATTATTTCTAACTTGGAAAAATTATGGGTGCGTTACATTTATTGTGTGAGCCTATAAGCTTACCTGTCTCTTACAGATTTAATATGAAAAATGTGCATTTTTAAACTTTTCAAGTAGCAAAGGAGCCCATGAAAGCATACTTTTATGAGGGGAACTCCATGTACTGTGATTGGGTTTTGGGCTTTGGCCCTTTTTTTCACTCTTTTGCTTGTTTAGTCATACAAAAGTAGCCAATTGTAACCAACTGTGCCCAAGTGAGGGCCTGAGTTTACTTCACTTATATGAGACATGCCTTTCTGCTAACAGGAAGCCAAAGTGGTTTTCTTGTAGTAGTACAGCCCAAGTGGAATTTCCTGTTTTGTGCGAGGCGTTCAAAGCAGCAGACATTTTAAGATGTCAGTGAGCATTTCCTTGATGCTTGAAGATTCGTCCCATTTTGGTTTGCTTCAAGCTGCAACATTATTGTATTTTTTAAAAACTGCCTTCATTCTGAACTGAAAGAAAATTTGAGGTGGAAAAAGGAAAATAGAACAGAAAAAAGCTTGGAGCTAAGATCATGCTGAAATTCACATCTCTGCATAGGGTAGTAGGAGCTGAGCTTGCCAAAAGCTAAGCATTTCAACATTGAAAAAAATTGTAAGGTGTTGAAAAGAGTACTACATTCCTTGAAATTTGCTATGGGAGAAGTTCCAAGACCTGTCTGCTCTGGAAAAATGAATATTTTCCTAATTTATTTCCTCCTGATAAAAATCCGGAGGGAGTGGTTTATAAGATGGCAGCAAGCTAAAGATGAAAGATGCATGTAATTCATTGATAGCTCAACAACCTTGATGTATGATCTGGAAATGGTTGACTTTAGATGACTCAGCTTGTAACACTCAGCCTGTAAAATCCATTTCTTTGGGAAAGCATTGTAGCTAGCAGTGTCTGAAGCTTATGCACCGTATCTGGTCCACATTAGGTCCATTTTGAAGATGTAGGTGAATGGCCTTTCTATAGGGCAAATACTTTGTGTCATCATGCCATAGCTTAGGAACCACTCCCTGTGTCCTAGATGCCTTAAGAGCTGCCCAGATTATTCTGACTCTTGAAGCTGCTTATGGCAGTTTTATCTTCTCCCAACTAAAAATGAAAAGAGGATATGAAAGCACATCTCCCACTCCCATATGAAGAAAAACTAGCACTAGTCTGGCAGAAATTAATGTAAGTCACCTTATTTATGAATGTTTACCAAAATAACTCACCTGGTGAAAAGCCATTTGTGCATACAAATAGCAGTGCCCTTGTGCCAAGCTTTCAGTGCTGAAGACTGGCCCAAAGGAAGAACGGATGTGTCTATCCCACTGTGCTCTGTATAGAGAGGAAAAGTCATGCACAGAAGAAGATTTACAAGGACTTCTCTCAGGCATTGGCAGGGCCTGCAGCACCACAAAAGTACATGGGATTCAAATTCAGTATTTTATCTGCTCAGTAGTTTTTCTTTTTTTTTTTTTTTCTTCACTAGTTTAAAACTCACAGCACAATGTTGCACTCAGCACTGCCTTTTTACTGCTTGTTGCCTACACGTGTGAATTGATTTTCATGGAATGATACACACATCTTGCAGAATGAGAGCCTTATGTTTGCACTTGTCAATTAAACACTGAAATGAGAGAATATTTTGCTCAGCCTTTTGTTTATTTCTTATTTTCACTGCAGATTTTTCAGTTTACTGCTATAAAAAGAAATAATTTTTTGCTCGTTCCTTAAGCAAGCAA